GTTTGTGAACAGTTGATGGGCGTGTTATCTGGGAGTCGACTGGTGGCGGGACCCTTCAGCTTCCACTCTCGCTCTAACCCTCTGTTGGCGATTCACAACTCCTGCACAACCCACCATGTACCCCTTACTCAACCTCTACTGTACATTACACAACCCTCCCAGATGAGTTTATTCACCCCTTTCATGCACGACTTAAACAACTTTATCTGTTAAGGTTATTCAACCCTCTTGTGCACCTTACACAACCTCTGTCTTACATAATCAACTTTCTTCCCTTGGCGCACTGCCCAGAAAAATTCCTCTAACACTTAAGAGGCGAAATATTTTACGCTGTGAATTGTAAAGTTTTGTTGGTGTGAATTTGTGAGGAAAATATAAAAGATTAATAAAGTTTACAGAATTTTGCTAAATAATAGTTCTGTATGTTTGTGTATTAATACTTAGGGGGGGGTGTGTGTGTGTGTGTGTGTGTGTGTGTGTGTGTGTGTGTGTGTGTGTGTGTGTGTGTGTGTGTGTGTGTGTGTGTGTGTGTGTGTGTGTGTGTGTGTGTGTGTGTGTGTGTGTGTGTGTGTGTGTGTGTGTGTGTGTGTGTGTGTGTGTGTGTGTGTGTGTGTGTGTGTGTGTGTGTGTGTGTGTGTGTGTGTGTGTGTGTGTGTGTGTGTGTGTGTGTGTGTGTGTGTGTGTGTGTGTGTGTGTGTGTGTGTAATAATAATAATAATAATAATGATAATAATAAACGGTTTATTAATAGAGTTGCAGCCGGTGGCTGAAAATATACAGACTTACATTTGATTTAGACATAATGATATAATATGCATTGAATACATTTACAGGGCTGTACAGTACATAAATCAGGAGTTGTTTATTATTTTAATAATAGATGGGATGGTGCTGTTCTTATATCTATCGGTGCGGGCTCTTATGGGCTGTATTTTGTTGTATTGGCGGACTGCGCGAGTTGGGTGGGGGGCTGCAGGTGGTGGCGATGACGAGGGTGGTGCAGTAGTCCACTGCCAAACCTTTCCAGTGCTTGGTGGTGGAGGTCACTGAGGGATGGCATTTTCAGGGTGGAGAGAGCGTTGGTGTAGCCGGAGTATTCTGTGCCGAGCATGATTCTGCAGGCCCTTTTCTGTACCTTCTCCAGCTGACGTTGTTGGGTGGAGTTGAGAGAAGGCGACCAGGCTGGTGACGCATATGTAAGTTTGGGGAGAATAAAGGCTTTGTAGATGGTCCTCAGCTCTGGCGTGAGTGTCCCAAGTGACCTAAGTCGTCGTAGCATGTAGAGACGGTACGAGGCTGCCTTGACTGTGTTATTTACTTGGGCCTTCCAGTCAAGTTTGTTGTCTATAGTTACACCCAAGAGTTTGGCAGACTGAACCAGCTGGAGAGGATGGGCACCCACTGTGACTGCTGGGGCTTGCACTGGAGTGGTGGCGGTATTGATGTGCATGACTACGGTTTTGGTGTGGTTGATGGTGACCTTGTTCTCCGTAGTCCATGCCTGTAGCCTGTCCAGGGTGCCTTGTAGCGATGAGTAGTCTGGTGCGGTGTTGTCCACTGAAACCCCTACAGTGCAGTCATCCACGTACTTCCACCTGTGTTGAGTGTCCGATTGAGCGTCGTTGATCAGGATGAGGAAGCACAGTGGTCCCATCTTGGTCCCCTGGGGAACACCGCAGGTGAGGTGTTGGAATGTAGAGACCAAGCCCTGATACCTCACTGCCTGGCGACGTCCACTCAAGAAATCAGTGAGCCATGAGACCAGGTTGGTGGGCAGCCCTAGTGCAATAGCCTTGTTGATAACAGTGCAGTAGTCAACAAGGTCAAAGTCCTTCCTGAAGTCCACAAGGGCAACAGCCAGTGATGTCTTACGTTTCTGCAAGTTTTTGTGCAGAAAATCCAGAAAGCTCACCAAGTAGTGTGATGTAGTGGAGGTCCTCATATTGCCAAATTGCTGTGGATCAATTGATTGATAGATACTGGCAAATGCCCACTCAAAAACAAAGTCCTCACAAAGTAGACTGGGTAAGAGGGTAATGGCAACTGGCCTCAGGTCGTTAGGGGACTGTGGGGTGGTGACCTTGGGGATGGGGGTGACAAATGCGGTTTTCCATTCATTAGGGCATTTGCTTTGTCTGAGGGATGCATTAATAATAGAACAGAGGGAGGTGGCAAGTTCGACTGCAAACTCCTTGTATATTTTGATTGGGAGGTCAATTGGCGTCGTGGAGCGTTTGGATTTGAATTTCAAGAGTTTGTTGGCGATTTCATATAGTTGAACACTGGGAGGGGGGAGAGGGGGAAGGTAAGTAAGCCGGGAGGTGTGTGTGTGAGATAATACGTCTGTTACTGCACTGTGGGGGATGACAGTTGGGTTGGGGAAGTGACATCCAGGAAGAATTGGGGAAGCGGGAGGAGGAGGAGGAGGGGGGAAATGCTGAAAGAGAAGGTGGAGGAAGTGACGTAGGAGGAGGAGAATTAGGGGGGGGAGGGAGAATTAGGATTTGAAGAAGGAGGAGAAAAGGGAAGGGAGATGAGGAAAGAATGTTTTGACTCACGAATAAGGGAATTAAGGAGGCGAGGGAGAGAGGAGAGACGAGGTAGGGATTTTAAAAGTCAGTTGAAGGTTGTATCCACCTGACGACAACAAGCGTGACCTGTTGTGTGGCGACCAACCCCCCCGCACACACACACAAGCTTTCCTGGGCTAGTTTACCTCTACCACTCTTAGGCATAGTTGTGGCCCAAGGAATTTCGAAGACTATTTTTTTTGTATAATATCCCGATTCTTTTTGTTACTTCTTTCCTTTTTTCATCATCATCTTCTACCTGGAGACTCACCAGCCACCATGGTGTAACACCTACAGTAGAATTAAGTTCTTGTGGAGTTAGTGGGAAGCCCCGGCCCCTGTGGCGAGGCTCTCACCTCTCCTCACATTGCTGTGTTTACATTGTGTTTCCAGGAAGGACGTGTAACTGTGTGTCATTACTGAGAAGCCTACACCGTGTCCTTCATAATAAAAATTGTGTTTACATCTTCTGTACAATCATATAATAGCGAGAAAATCAGTGCCCAGGAGGTTATTCTGGTTCCCGCCATTACAGAGCGGCGCTGCAGGGCGAAGGGGCTACGGACGTGTGTTTTTCTCTGTTGGGTAATAATGGGCTAACATTAGTCACTACCCGTCACTGTAGACCCGGGGAAATAAATCTAACTTCACCAGTTATAAAACACACCTGACCATTTTATTTTATCTTCGTTAATCTCTCTTGAACACTTCCAGTCAATAAGTACTGTAATCGGTAACCCGTCAAAAACCAATCCCAGGATGTCCTTCATCACAAACCTTACCAATCATAGAGAACCCAATCGTAATCATTCCAGACGACCTAATCCTTCAGGTGTTTCATTCACATTCATCATACAGACTCCGGTAAACTGTACAGTGTATCGACTCGGGCAAAACCTCTTCATCTCGGCCGACAGTGTCTTCAAGCTGGTGTCACCACAAACACATCACCACAAACAACTCATTTCCACACAATAGTTAACGGTGGTGCCTTAAGCTAAATACAAAAAAAATCGTATTAAAAAAAATGGATTGTCATTACCACGTGGGTATAGTGTGGGTCACGTGACTGGAGGATGAGGGAGTGGTGGGTGTGTCGAGGTCCAGCGTGACTTGTCAGAGTGTAGGAATGTCTGGTAATGTTGTTTATGTAGGGAAGCAGTTTTACGATACTTGCCTCGGTCCTCTCCTGTGTGGCGAGAGAGAGAGGATGTAGAATGTGTATGGGAGTGTTTATTAAGTGGTGTGTGTGTCTCATATAAACAACTACACCATCCCCTAACACACGCCCGTCGTCGACCACGTGACAGCCAACCTCGAGTTATTGTGTTTAATATTCACACTCTGCTTCCGTCAGCCAACCGAGTATTGAGTGGAATAGAATATTGATGGGGTATTTGTGTCCTTTGATATCATGTTGAGAGTTTGTTTACACTGTTGGTAATAGGGCCCTTAGGAGTGGACCCCATTTGAGACCCATCATAGTTCAGAATAGTGTGACCCAGTTCTTCCTTGTGTGGCGCTCACCATGTGATAACCTCTTGGTGATCCTGCTGGCTGCCTCTCCTGGTGACGGCGAGTGAGTGCTAAAGGACCTTCGTGTGGCAAGTCAAGGTAGGCTGACGAAGGGTATTCCAGGGTGTGATAAATCAGGTGGGTTCATGTTTTCCTAGTGGAGCTGGGCGGGCGGGCGGGCGGGTGGGCGGGCGGGTGGTGGTGTGACCTTCGCTTCTTTTTGCGTCACTGGTACCGGCTGACACAGGATTGTGTATTTGTCTTTAAGTCTCATGGTAAAGGGATCTGTTTACATGCCGTGTGATAGCGCCTTCTTCAACCTGCTAAACTGTCATCACTAACTCACTCTTTATTATACACAAGTTGTGGACGTCGACTAAACGCGGCGTCGAGGTAATATTGATGTGCCAGGTAGACATTGATGGCCGAAATGAGTTATCTGGGATGAGATCGACAAATTAGGAATGAAAGTATAACATAAGTTGTTTTAGTGGGGAGGTGGTTGTGTTGTGAGGAGTGGGTGTGTGATAGGCGGCCCCTTGTACACCGGGGCCTAGGAATACTAACGCCACACCATACTTGTTATAAGGGCTGGTGTGAGGCCTAAGGGGTGGTCATCGATGAGTCTTGTTGACAATATCCTTTATATTTTCATGAACGCTGTCCACATCATGGGGAGTGTTAGAGATTCAGTAGACGTTCCCTCCTCCACTTTATTTATAATTTGCATAGTTGTAAAATCTTGGAGGTGTCTAGCAGTGGGCTGCCTTCACGGCTCTTATATGTTTTATCAAGTAACACGAAGGCTCCCCCCTCCCTCCACGGCCTCATGATCCTTAAGCTTAGGTCATGAGGAACGTTAAATGACTCGCCATCAGGCTCCCTTCAATTGGTAATGAACGTTCAGTCTAGGTCATGGGAGCCTCTAAGACTCCAGTAGGTCACCCTAGACAACATAACTCTGGGTCCTTGATGGAAGACAATATTCAGTCGACTTTCAGTATTGACCAACAGTTCTGGCAGAGTTAGAAGCTCAGAATTATTCTTATCAAAATTATTAATCAGTATTGTTATAAGTGAACTTACAGAAGCCAGAAGGTCATGATAAAGACGCTGTGTTCTTCAGCCCGCTGCCAGATCTTGATGTTGTACTTTGAGACAACCTGTATACTTATCTTGTTAACAAAACCTGTATAGTGGAGAAGAAATAGTGACTATCTGGCAACACTTGTCGCCTGTGTACATATCACTCAGATCAGAATGTTAATTTTTGGCTGAAGGTGTGATGACGACGACGACGACGACTCAAGACGAAGGACAAAGCGATCCTAAACTTGACACAACCAACACGGGTCTTCAGGTCCCTCAGGTAGTGCATGTTAGTTCCTGTGTGTCGCCTGAGACTCGTATGTTTCTTTATTGTTACCTGTGTAGTGAGGAGTTCCACTACCTGAGCCCCTCTCTCCTAGGTCTGCCTCACACCCCTCCACCCCCCTGCCTCCTCGCTCCCCCGGCCCGTGACGCAGCACAAGTTCACGGTCAAGGGCGCCGCCTCACCTCTCTCTCTCTCTCTCTCTCTCTCTCTCTCTCTCTCTCTCCGGCGTATACCTCTTCCCTCTTCATTAGGTTATCCCCGTACTCCTCCTCCGTCACCTTCCCTTCATCCCGCTTTATCGTACTTTACTCACCTAACCTCTTCTTAACTGACCAACCAACACTTCTTGCATTACGTCATCATGCGGGCTGCTGATAATAACAGTCGGATTGATCGAGCGTAAACTCACAGGTGTGTGGTTCAGGCTCCCTCCACGACCGCCCTGTCCACGCAGAAGGCAAGCGACCGATTGTACTGCCGTGTAACTGCCAGTACTTGTCGTTACCCGGACAGAGGGGAGGTAAACGACTGTCGCTGAGGGCTGGTTTATTTTGGTATTGGTGTGGGTCAAGTTATACCTCGATAGCTGGTGGAGTCTGACCTTGTGGAAGCTTATACAGGTGTACATCATCTCTTAATTAACACTCAACAGGTAACCTTATTAATACCATTGTCTGTAAGGAGGTACTATATTATTTAATACTGAAAGTGGTGGTGACAGTGGCGGTAAGTGGTGATGTGGTGGTAGGTAGTGGTGGGAGATGATAGTAAAGTGATAGTGGTGGTAGGTAGTGGTGGGAGATGATAGTAAAGTGATAGTGGTGGTAGGTAGTGGTGGGAGATGATAGTAAAGTGATAGTGGTGGTAGGTAGTGGTGGGAGATGATAGTAAAGTGATAGTGGTGGTAGGTAGTGGTGGCAGCTGCTGACTAGAACACTGGCAGGAGGGTAATTAAATATAATTGTTAACTTCCAGGTGAGACTTCCGTCAGGATACACACACACACACTCACACTACATACATAACTAGTGAGCCTGTGAGACGATGGTTGTGGTGGTTGAGGTGTAGGCGGTGGTTTTGTCAGAGGCGGTGGTTGTGGATGTTATATGTTTTTGTTTTTTTAAGTGAGGCAGAGATTTATAAGCAACACCACCAAGACGTCCAGCTGAGTCTACAAAGCACTCCGCGTCGGCAATCATTCATAGCCAGCGATTGGCTAAACAAAACCTGCCGACGCCATCAGGGAATATCCAGGATGTTTACCGTCTTAGATTACACACGTTGATACTTCCTGGAACACACAAAGTCCGAGAAGCTGTATTGAGAGGGAAATGTGTGGTGTAATGTTAGGAAAATAACGTTAAAAATGTCCTTACGAAGCATACAGCCTCGTCCGTGTACCATGAGAACGGAGAAAACGGGTCTGATTCATTTCTGACAACAGTGAAACAAATTTACGAGACCTAACTTAACCAAACTGATCTATAACCTTGCGACATTGGGGTAATTTGGAGATGGTTTTGTTTTGTTAGTTTCTGCTTTTTTGTGCGATCATAACTTACGATTCCGCCCAAAAAGTGAAGATTATTAAGCCGTCTCCCGTTGTCTACATCTTTATAGACATGCGAACCTAGATGAACAAAACACATCTTAACCACTGATAACATAGGAACATTTCCCTGTGTGGCAACGTCAACATTTATCATCGTCGAATTAATTAATCTCCGCCTCCAGAGGACTTAATATGCAATAGAACTGTAGCATTATGTTAATGTAATTAATAGGTAATAGGCATGATGTGTAATTTAATTCCGTGAATATATATCAATTAACTTTGTTCTGTATATGACAACTTCTTACGAGATGAGGATTGGCTGAACATACCTAACACTGCTTGGGTTTAGCTACGCCAGCAGTTGACGGTAACAGTGTAGGACAGCCAACGGTACCTTCATATTTTTGCCATGATGTAAACTGCCCTGGAAGAAGGTAACTCCATAAAGGAAGACCCCCAGCACGCTACGTCACGTCACCTTGACTACAACCAACACGCTAACAGCGGTCACACACGAGACCTCCCTCGGGAGACACTCACTCACCAGAAGCAAACTGTGATCACACAAAAGTTAAAACTCTAACACCTGTCGACGCATGATTGATTTGTAGTACAGAGAGTTTAGTAATAATCCAGTAGGAGAGAGAGAGAGAGAGAGAGAGAGAGAGAGAGAGATACTTTATTTAGATTAAATAATGTCTTTTTGTGTAAGTATACAGCCTTGTCTCCTTCTGGTAAACAAAAAATAGTTGATAAATACATTTCACAAGAGTATGATTATCACCACTGCCGTTTAGTTCCGTGTTACAGTGCAGAGATTTCCTGGAATAAGATGACGGTGATTGTTGTGGCGCCTCCAGAATAGGTTTTACCGATTGTGATACTGCATTGTGTTGGGCCATCCCTCCCTCCCTCCCTCCCTCGTCTTAGATACTGCGTTGAGGAGTAGTAGGAGGAGGAATTTAAGGAAACAAGAAGGATGAGGAGGAGAATAAGAAGTAGAAGAGAAGATGGAAGAACTTGCAAGATAACAGAAGGAAGAACAAGAAACGTTAAGAGGTGTGAGACGATAAAGAAGAGGGGGGGGATAAGGAAGGATTAGGAAGAAAGGGGGAAGAGGTAAAACTTGAAGAAGACAAAAAGAAACAGCAACAAGAGGAGGAAGGAGGAGGCAGCAACAGTAAATCAAAGGAACGAACAAAAACAGAGAATACGGAGGCTGTGTGTGTGTGTGTGTGTGTGTGTGTGTGTGTGTGTGTGTGTGTGTGTGTGTGTGTGTGTGTGTCATCCTACTGGAGGTGTTAAAGCTGATGGAAGGACAAGAGAGTGAGGCAGCGACAGTAACATCATTAACAGTTACAGCAATAGTAACAGCAACAAGAAAGGCATAGCAGCAAGGGGGAACAGTAACAACTAAAGTGTGAAACTTACGAGCATTTGGTCATACACTGTCCCTTCTCGCCTGACTGTGAAGCATCGCTGTGGTCAGGAGGGACTGGAGGAGGGTTGGTTAGCTCTCCAGGCACTGTACCTACACTCAAGGTCTTCCTGAAACTCCACGTTACTCCCGAAGACTGTAATGAGGAGGAGGAGGAGGAACGGTTGTAAAGGAGTACAAGTTAATTTGGGGTTTGAGTAAAAAGGACGAAGGTAGACTGACACAATGCCCTTGACAGTAGGAAAGGGGGAACGTGAAGAGGATAGTGTTAGGATGATGATGATGAATATAGTTATGACGTGAGGATGAGGGAGTCAGGATAAAGATGGGAGTGAGGAGAGAAAAGTAGTAGTGAGATGGGTATGAGGGAGGTGTTACGGAGAGGGTTAAGTAGAGGGACAAGTGAGTCAGTGTGGTGAGTGAGAGAAGAGTGATGAGTACAGGTATTGATGCTAGAAGGGGGCGGGGGGGGGGCCTTGTTGTATTAGCAACGCTGCTGGTGCTGTAAAGGCGCTGTCGTGTCCCTGAAGTAGTGTTGTAGCTCAAGTGTTGCCGTGTTATTAATGTTCAAGACTAAGATGGCCTGACGTAACAAAACAAGTGTGTAAGGAAAGTTGATTGTCATTCTCGGTGGGTAGAGTTGCCAAACTTATTCTCGTAACAATTAATTAGTTTCTCTCTCTCCAGGACTTTCTCAAGAGTTCAGAAACTCCCCCAAACTGAAACTTGATGCAGTAATATACATTTTTCCCTCGATACCTGTGTTGTATTATTAGGCCTAACGTTTTGACCCGACTGACGACACAAATATATTACTGTGAGATGACCTGGTTGTGATGGTCAGACCCCCTGCCTCATACACTCGCTGAATAATCCCCGAGACGTGTCTGTCGTGACTTGTGGATGGTCGGGGGATATTTATTACCCACGGGGACTTCCCAACCATCATCTCCTCCTCCTCCTAGCATTAACTCACCTTGTCCGTGAGCCCCAGGTGGTTGGCAGATGATAGATTAGTTTTCAATTTCCAACCTTCACTCGTGATGTCAACAACAGCGACGATTAACAAACTGATCTCAGTGTGTGACATCCTCGGCCGCGTGCGAGTGATGAAGGGATGGGTGGAGATTGACGCTAAATCCACACACACACGCAGTTCAAATTTCGTTCTATAAGCAATAAAGTCCACGTATTAAACCTGTTTGCATACATAGTTTAACTTTACACATACGATACTTAATTGTGATGATCTACTACTCTGTCACAATTCACTATACATTACACATTTTGTTCTCCCCCCCCATTAACCTACTTCCTCATATATCCTCTCTTGTACCTTCCTCGCTCTTCCTCATACGCTGTGCCTCTTCCTTATATTCATTTTCACGTTTCCTCCTCGTCTTCGTCCTCCTTATCATTATCTTCGTTTCTCATCTCTTCCTCGTCCTCCGCCTTCTCGTGTCACACAGAAACTCATGTGAAATATTTGCCAATTAGTCCTGTATGGCACGGAGAGATGTGTCTCCCCAGAAGAGTTTTACCTTACGTCTCGGGGTCTCTTGTGCCCCAGTCTATATCCCTTGTAAACGTTTATATCCCATTTAAAGTTAATCTTCCCCTGTAGAAGTTAATCTCCTCCTGTAGAAGTTAATCTCCCCCTGTAGAATTTAATCATCTCCTGTAGAAGTTAATCTCCCGCTGTAGAAGTTTATCTCCCATGTAAAAGTTTACCGCCGTCCCTTTAACTCCTGTAGCTCAAGGCCTCGGGGTCGGGGTCCTTTCCCTGTCGTCATGCCAACACTGTCAAGAATCTCAGACATGGGGCGAGCTACGGAGCAACTTTCTCCTTATAGTATCGAAGATTGAAAGTTATCGTTGATCCATTTAGTGAGATGTTCTTGGAAGTCCTGGGGAATGGGGGAGACGGCCCAGAATGACTTAAGACTAACACAGGTGATGTTGACGACAAAATAAAGAACTAACGTCTGGAAGTTTATCGCAAAGGCAGTGTTTATTATTATTATTATTATTATTATTATTATTATTATTATTATTATTGTGAAATTCAGAACGTCTACGCTTACTGTAGTGTGTTTTTACGAGGGAGAAATGGGTCTACAGCCGTTCGAGTGCATGACGCCACCAGAGGTTCAGTGCTGTGTATACTGAGGCTGAGAAGATACTGACTGGCTGAGCGAGCTGTCAGCAAACCAACGGTAACCCTGACACGTACTGAACGTGAAACGATCCTGTCCTTCCCTCGTCAAGGCGCTGAAGGCTTCTTGAACTTTATTCTCTCTCTCTCTCTCTCTCTCTCTCTCTCTCTCTCTCTCTCTCTTATATATGTATGTATAAATAGATAGATAGATAGATCGATGGTGGGACACGGACATTTAAAAAATGTATATATATTTTTTTATTATCTTATTTTATCTTATTTTCTTCATCTTACTATAGGGCCTAGTCCGTGGCCCACCTGAGAACCACCCCATGGCCCACCAGTTGAAGACCACTGCGGGCCTATACTTATTGTACAGGGGCCCCATACTCCGGGCCCTATACTTATTGTACAGGGGCCCCATACTCCGGGCCCTATACTTATTGTACAGGGGCCCCATACTCCGGGCCCTATACTTATTGTACAGGGGCACCATACTCCGGGCCCTATACTTATTGTACAGGGGCCCTTATGGTTGTGAATATATTATATAATGAAATACTCGGTGTACACTTGAAACAAGGTTACTGTATACGCTGGCACGCTGCGCGACAAATTAGTTTCAGTGGGCCCCCAGATACCGGTGGGCCCTAGGCCAATGGTCTACTTGGCCTATTGGTAAATCCGGCCCTGCCCGTGATGACCAATTTGCATACTAACCCTTCCTTCTTATGGTGCCCGGGGGGATGGGGGCTATTCAGCTAAGCTGAGTAGGGAAGGTTACCTCAGATGTTGGTTGTGGATTTATGCACGGTTAGTATTGGATCTCTCAGCCAGGGAGAAGGATGAGGTTGTTATAATATAATCTCTTATTAACTTGTATCTGTTATTGTGATCAAACTCCATTTTGTGTCGTAGTCCACTCATACAGTACACTAACGCGATCCTCTCTCGTTCCAGGTATGTGCAGGGCAGGCAGTAAGTGGTACCAAGTAAGATATGAGGTGCTCTCGGTGAGGTAAAGTATTAAGTTAAACACCAGTTTGTGATGGTTCCACTGTGAGCACAACAGCACTAACAATTTCTAGCGGTGAAGAAAAATATTTCACTGATCAGTTTGGATTAAACTCCTGCTTGCTCCGTTAAATCAGACTACAGCGTGAAAAGTTATTATCCAGCTGGGATTTATGTGATTTAACAACTTTTACTTAATGTTTTAAATCTTTCTCAACTGGGAGGAAAACTGCTATACTGTACTGTAGCCTATTTTCTGCCATCACATTTAATAACATAGCAATGTAAAAAAAAATTCCAGCGGTAGGTGATTTATGTGGCTTAACAAAGCTTGACTTCATAACTTAAATCTTTTTCAAGGGTCCACAAGAATAATATCTTCCCGGAGTGACTACAAGGCCAACCCCAACTTGCTCTTCTCCCGACTCAGGTTCTTCCGTCTGGGATAATTTAATGCCTAGTTTAATCTGGCGTAGTTAAGTGCATTGTTCCCGACGCTGGGATAAATTATGACTGCAACTTCCCGGGGTAGGATCCATTGTCTCAAGTGGCTTAAATAAATGTAGGTAATCACCTGGAAGGAAGGGAGGGAGGGATGTGGTGCTGGCTCAGGTCTGATTCGGGTCACTGCTCACCTGATGAACCCAAAGGAATGACTGTTGGGCTGTAGGACAAATTCCATGCAACCCAACCTACTACCCTTAACTTGATTTAGTTTAACCAGACCCAAGTTAGATTAACCAAGACTAACGCAACCCAGAATAGCCTAACACAACCAAAAACAACCTATCGTTCTATAAACACGACTAGCCTAACCTAGTCAACCTAACCTAAACTTAACTAGGGTCAACTAAACTAACCTAACTCAGACTAACCTAACTTAATCTAATTTAACATTGCCTGAACTGAACTAAACCTGATCTCATCTCATTTGACGTTATCAGGATAATAAATAAACTTCTAAGCATTACTGTTCTCCGTGATTTTAATGTGACTTTTTTTTATCATTTTGGTCGTGTGTGTTGGATCACCAGAGGACATGTACTACTGTACTGATGACTGAATGGTACACAAAAATAATGATACACAATTATAACAAGATGTTATTCAGATGTTTCAACAGTATATACTGTGCAGTATATGCAAACACTTTCTTACATTAATGTCATATCAAAGTTCATACACAATGTGAGCTTTATTATGATGAAAATTTTAGAAGAAATACTGTATATTAAATTACATAGTCTTTTTATTTAGCTTTCCGTAACTGAATGAACAGTTTCTCATCTCATATCTTATCTAGCATCATATAAACGGTATCTGGCATATACAGACATGAGTTCTCTAGGAAGCAATCTAGCAAAATACACGGGTCTAACATCTGGTCTGTGGCATTGCTATCTGGTAAACTTCATTCCTCACATGTTTCATACACACCCTGATGGATGTTACATCTGTATCCACTTGGAATTTTATTTTTATATAATATCTAAATATTTCATCACACTTACTGTACATACACTCAATGTTATGATATTAGCATAAATTACATGTTCAACCTATACTGGGTTGTTTAAAAGGAAGAACAATTAACTCTTTACCAATTATTTTTTTATACGAGGAAAAATAATGGAGTTATAAGACCTTAAGTACTGTACAGGGGTCCAACACACGAGTGCCTGCCCACACTAACGAGGCTAAACTTAAAATTTACAGTAAAGTATTTTATTTACCTGGTGACTTATTTTTTTACTATCAATGGCTGTATTTTGTCATTCTATTTCTTCTTTTATCTTAAATTAAGTGATTTTAGGCTATGATATAATTGGATTTTAAACATTGTTCTGTAAGTACGGTATGCACATAGCATGTTCGTACTTGTGTATATTTCCGACTTACGAATGTCCTCAGGAATGGAACCCGTTCATAACCCGGGGACTCCCTGTACTACAGTACAGTACATGTTCTGTATAAGTACCGAAATTCACAAGAGTTCTTAAATGCACGCTTTTTTTAAATATGGTACACTGTTCTTTTTATTCTGTTGTATTGTTATTTTTATAATTAATCATTCTTTCAGGGAGAACTTGTACAAGCTCACAGTTCCCGTGTCAAAATGGGCGATGCATCCCAAAGCGCTGGGTATGTGACTACCAGAAGGACTGTGAAGACGGTGATGATGAGCAGCAATCATGTCGTGAGTACTTCTTAATCTCTTGTCTCCCCCTCAGGCGGTAACACACACATCTTTCACCATTACAGTATACATGAGATGAGGGATTTATGACGAATGGTACTTTATCTGGATTATGAAACAGACAACAATGTGTCATTCTTTCATGTCACAAATATTAAGGAATTTTCCGTGTATCATTCACAGTCTTTCAGTATTATGTGTATCATTCTGAATTATAAATTTCAGCTCCCCCTGAATGTGAGAGTGAACAGTTTGCATGTGGGGAATACAAGTGGAACCACACCTATTGCATCCCGACCTACCAGCGTTGTGACAAAATAGACGACTGCAGTGACAAGTCTGATGAGGAAGGATGCTGTAAGACTTCACAGTTGATCTATTGTTACAATCTGTCCACCAGGCTCACATGTTGCAGCTTTAGGCTTAGGTCCTCTGCATTACATCAACACAAATTGTTAAGGATTTAAATTAAGCCAAAATATGTTGCTCTTCTATTTGTGAAGGATTTTTTTATTCTTATCTAGTGGCTACTACAGAAAGTGATGTACTAATGAGAGGAAGGAAGCTAATTGCTTAGTTTGTTGATGTGTCTAGCATTTAATATTCACTTTTATTATTTGTCGTATTGTTTGCTTTTGATCTTCCAGTACTTGTACAAAATACTGTATGTAAGATCACACTTCCTATCTGATGTTCATTAATAAGATATTATCACAAACTTGATCAGTGTTCCAGCACTTGTTAGATGATTTAAGAGAAAGGGTTTGTGAAATATAACTGAAACCAGAAGTAAAAATAAATAAAAATAAACAACTTATAGAAACAATGTTATAACAACTTTGCTGAATCCAAATCACCACCCTCATATTCTGATAACCAAAGGTCACTATGTATGCTTGTACTGCACATGACAAATATGGTGTTTGTCACCAAAAATTCATATTTAATTTTTCTTAGGGAAGCCAAGAAGCAAAACACAGTGGGGGAAACTTTGCATCAATGTAACTTATGACGAGATAAGGTGCATAGTTGATGATGCCCTGAGATGACCGAACAATGGGTCTACAGTACTGTATATCCAGTGAACATCACCTAGGATATAAACCAGTTATATACTAGACCCTGAATCTCAAGCTGACTAATATAAGTTTCCACTGATTATGAGGTTGATCCTTGTATCAAGTGTGTAACCTGTACTGAGCTGTTACAGTTATCATTGATTTGTAGGCAGCATTACCACAAAAATACCACAGAAACTGTATTACTGTAGAGGGGTATTTCAATTTAGCAGGTAGTCTTTAGTGATGTTAATAACAATTGACTATTACTGTACCCCATTATATGTTACAAAGTTACAATGTTTGTGTAAAATTAATGGTACAGGTTACTTTTCTCCTTTCCAGTCTACCGTTCCTGCCTTCCTGAGGATCACAAGTGTGGTTCTGGGCTCTGCATTCCACCCACTAAAAAATGTGATGGCTACTTTGACTGTCGTGATGAGACGGACGAAGTGGGCTGCAACATGACCTCGTGCCCTAAGAACAAGTTCCGCTGTAATGATAAATGTATAGAAAAGAGTCAGAAATGTGACCACAGAAATGACTGTGGTGACAACACTGATGAAAATGATTGTGGTAAGTCTTGAATTGTGAAAAACTATGAATTGCTGAAGTGAAAAATTACTGATCACATTTAATCAACATACCAGGTGCAATATGTATTCCTTATTCTTAGAAAATATTGCTGTACAGTATAACTAGTTTATTAATGTGGATTCAGTATGTTATAGTCTATTGTACTGTACTTGTTTTCTCTTCATCAGATTTCCCAGCATGTCATGAGGAACAGTTCCGATGTGCCAATGCTCTGTGCATCCCTCGCCGGTGGCACTGTGATGGTCACAATGACTGTCCTGATGCTTCTGATGAACAAAACTGTACAGCCATCGCTTGTCCAGACTCCAAATTTTTATGTGCCAAAGAAAATCGATGTATTGAAAAGTCAAAATTATGTGATAGTCAGAGGGACTGTGATGATGGCTCGGATGAACGAACTGCATGTTGTGAGTACTACAACGATGCTGTGCTTCATTTGTGGATTTTCCTGACAGTCAGATTATTACAATACAATACTGTATAGTTATTTGAATTGCCATCTTAAAACAAATACCAGTGAAGTACTGTATTGCATCATGTTACCCTTTAATTTATCAGTCAGTTAATGGAATTAGTCACCATTTTCTTCTACTTTGGAATAGTTTTTAGACAGTGAGGGTTAGCTCTGTTTGTACTGTACGGACAAAGGGAAATGCAGCATTATAATAAGGAAAGATGAGGTGCTAGTAAAGTAAGGTAACACTGAAAGATAAATGATAGAGAAATGGATTCCTACCTAGGTACAGTATCTTTTAAAGAATAATACAGTATTGAGTTTGGAAATATTGTACAGTACAGTACATCCAAGATAAACAAATTGGTCAAATATCAAAAATTATTTAAAAATATAAAGTACAGGGGTGTAGTCATCATTTGCTTTTATGATAACAAAAGAAAAAGAAGATACTTATTATATGTAAACTTGGGGTATCTTACTGGCAGAGTATTTGGGGGAATATTTATACTTTATCTTTATACACAGCGGCAGAATTATGTCCCAGTCTTGGGTGTGAGTATGCATGCAGGGCCTCTCTTGCTGGTGGTGAGTGTTACTGTCCGCCAGGGAAACAAGTCTCCAATGATACAAGAACCTGTATTGGTAAGTATTTTTCATTTACACCCACTCAGTTTTTACAGTGCAGTATTTGTTTATTTTATTTTATTTCTTTATGTATAAATTTCTTTTTGGATGATGTAAGTCCATTAACTTTTGAACAGACTGTAACGGGTAAATCTGATTTTCTCATAACCCGAGTGTTGCCCGGTCGTGCACTGACCTTCACAGGTGTTTGTCTACTTGCTATATAACTTCACTCTGCCAAACTTAAAATCATTCTGCCCATCTAAACAAAGTACAGCACTATCTTGAAATATCTCGTGCACATTATAACAGTTAATTGTGTACATATTATTAGAAAATTACTTCATTTCAAGTTACAGTACAGACTGTTGAGCCTCCAATCCTTGCATGAGAATTTATCCTGATACAGTACTGTACTGTATTAGAAATATTCATATTACACACTCCTGTATAGATACATTAAAAATAAATAAAAAATGATGACAAATACATAAGTGTTTTGCCAGAAAGCAGGAAGCCTTTGGTATTATTATATAAAAATTATATTGGAAATACATTATTCTCTAGACCACTATAGAAGACTTTCACTTGTATAGTTATGGACAAAAAAGAGTTTGGCTGGGAGGGAGGGAGGTGGTGTATGGGGGGTAGGGGTAGGTGGACACGTGGTAACATTACATAGAGGTGGCAGTTAAAAGTGCGATTTTCTTTCTATACAGTAGTACTTTTTTTTTTTAGCTTAATTGTGAAGCAGACTTCGTGTTTTGTCCACAACTGTACATATGTTCACTCTGCCCAGTCATCTTTGCTTTGAGGAATGGGGGCTGATATGAAGCTATTTTATTGACTATGATAGAGTGAAGGTTTGAATAACACTTTCTTATTATACAGACAAGGATGAGTGCAAGGAATGGGGCCACTGTGACCAGCAGTGTGTCAACACAGATGGGTCTTTTAAGTGCCTGTGTACCCGAGGCTTCATACTTCAAGACAACACTCACTGCTCAGCCTCTAATGTTCCTGATAAGATGAAGATGACTCTCTACTTTACCCATCACGACAAAGTCCTTAAGGTGAGATACATGTACAGTAATTAAAATTTATTTCATACAGTATTGGTATACATCAGGGGGAGTGTATCCATTACATCATAGAGAGAAGAGAAGAACCCAGGCATTCTGATAACTAGGTTTCATTGTTTCGTGAAAATTTATATTTCTCTTATTTATTTGGGTGTTTATGTATTTGATTACATTTGTTTTTTGTACATCAATGAATATATTAATTTATTGCAGGTACAAGATATTCCAGGAATGGAACCAGATATTGTGGTAAATGCTACCTCTGCTTGGGGTTTAGACTTTCATTATAAGAAGGACCTCCTTTACTGGTCAGACACAGAAACAAGAAAGGTAAGCCAAAGGACATTCTTCTCTGATTATTACAAAGAAATTTTAGTTGTTGAAATTTTTTTCAACAAATGTTCTCAAATTGACACGAGAATGTTATTAATGGTTGGAAATGTTACTCACTTCCCTTGACGACAGTATTAATAAACTGTGAACCACTATTGTGCCGAGATCTTCCCAATATATATAATTTCTCAGTTCAAAGAGCTATGTCATGAAATCCATTCCCCTTGCATGAATTTATTTTTCGAGGGCAACAGTAACTCGACTCCTGGGCTCTGATTCACAAGTGTAGGGAGGTGAGGTAATGAATTAGATATAAACACACACTATTCAGGAGACCTTAAGGATAACTGAATAGGTTCTAGAACAATATCTCCATCTCTATTGACATAATGATACAAAATGAATATAAGAATAATTAAGGTGATAGTGAATGAAGAGTCTGTTTACTCTTGTTTTTAATGACAGAGTTTGCATACAAAGAAATTTTTAAATGCAAAATTATATTCCTTTTGAGTTAGGACTGTGAGTTTATAGATCGGTTAATTATAATTTTTTTACAGGTTTATTCTCAAAAACTACGTGGGTCAGCCAACAATGCAGCCGAGACAACATTGACTCTCCCAGGATCATTAACACCCGGAGCCTTGGCTGTCGATTGGGTTGGAGATAAACTCTATGTGGTAGACATCTTGGGTCAGAAGATTGATGTGTTTCAAATTCTTGGCCGATATCATGCTATTGTCTTATCCAACAACATCACTGAACCTCAAGATATTGGATTAGACCCAACCAGAGGGTATGACTGTCCTGTCTTTATGTATCATTCTGTATCTTACATATCTAGTGAGGTACTCAGAGGTATCATCTTACCTCTCAGTGTCTCTCTTACAACCTTATCTTGTATTGTATGTTTAGGTGAGAACATTTTCTTTGTTACAGTTGCTCTCTCCTTATCAAAATTCTTATTCACAACTCAAACAGACATCATTCTTTATGGTTCATTTCTTCATTTTCAGTATTGTTCAGTACAGTATCTTTGTTCCCCTTATTTAGAACCTTCAAGTCCATGACCCTTGAGACAAAGGCCAAACCATTTTTGAGTATTTTCTGGGTTCTTGAGTCCTAAGTCATTCATATTTTCTAAGGCCTACCAGTGGAATGTTTGTCATTTGCAAAAATAATCAAATTAACCCACCTAACCCAATCTAATGTAATGTAGGTAATATAATAATGTTTAGGTGAAGCTCAAATTTAGGTAGGTTTGTTTAGGTCATTTAATGACAACAAATTATACAGTTTAATGTAGTAGTATCTGTTACTGAGGATAATTCTTAGTCTCACTGAATGTTAACATCAACACTCATGATTTTCTGTCAATTAAATACAAAATTACCTTTTTGCTAACTTGAGTGGAAATTCCTACAATCAAAATCATTTTCTTCCAGCCTGATGTTTGTAGTCGACCATGACCGTATTTTCCGAGCAAACATGGATGGCACCAACTTACAGGCTCTCGTGAGGGATGTCATTTACAAGGCCTCGGGTATTGCTGTAGACATCATCAGCAAGCGAATATTTTGGTGTGATTCTCTCTTGGACTACATTGAAACTGTAACTTATGAAGGAACTGGTCGAACTGCCATTGTTAGGGGTATGTAGAGGAAGTATTTGAAAACTATCAGTTGTTATTTTTAGACAATGACTTACTACAGTACTTTCCTATGTCTTGTGTGTTGGGCTGATACAATACAGTAGCTAGGACTCACATACTGTATACTGTGTTGTATTGAGATATAGAGGACTCTCAAATGTCCACCAACCTAATATCCACAATATTGTAGTTAAATATCCACCAAATATGCAATATCAGCCTTGGAAAGAGTCATAGTCATGCATAAAGGACTGATGATTGATTGTGGTAATTACATCCCTGGCGACACAAGAGCCTTGGAGCAGAGTTTGTGTACAACATTTAACAGTTATGAATCATAACTGATGTTAGCCAAATATATGAACAGGGCAAAAACCCAACCAACAACAAGATACAATCCTGGCAGACTGTAGATAGATGCACTTGGCCAATGCAGAATATACTGTAGAAGTGTAACTTACTGTAGTACTGTACCAATATATTTTTAATGGCTAACCTACCTTAGTGTCAAAAATGGCCATAAATTGGTGATAGTAATGGTGAGTGTCAAGTATCTGCCAAAATATATTATACAGTAAATTAAAATCATTAATAATACATTTTCTTTTTATTTACGTTTCAGGATCTACTAATGTTCCAGCACCAAACCGTTTAACAATTTTTGAGAGCAAAATTTACTGGACTGACAGCACTCGACAGGGTGTCATTCGCATAGACAAATATGAAGGATCACAATCAATTCATCAAGTGTACCGAAACTCAGGGAAGACTCAAGACCCCAAAGCAATAAAGGCTGTTCATGGACTGATGCAGCCTCATGGTATGTACAGTACTGAGAACAGTTTAGTAATTGGTCAATATACAGGTATTTTGTCTTGTACTGTTTTTAAATAGATGTTGTGTGTAATAATGTCAACTATGATGAAAGTTATAATCATTTCTTACTGTAAAAACTTAAAGAAAGTTGAGGGATGAAAGAGTAGACATATTCTATTTTTTTTTTTAAGAAACCTAAGTGTTCCTGTAAATCAGATGGATTGATAGCTACATGGTCTAAGTTCAGAGATGATAGCTACATCATCTAAGTTCAGAGATGATAGCTACATGATCTCCAACTCTCCCTGTAAAATAGTAACCATCTCCCATCCATATCTCCTATGCCTTGTTCTGTCTCGTGTTATCTTGTCTCCTTAACACCGATGCCTCAGTTTCTTCACCACCTCCCCTTGTGAGTGTTCCTATACGCATAGTTTACATGGATCAGTTTAGCCGTCTCCTATCTAAATCATTCAAGTGATCAACAAAGGCCGTCATACTAATTTAATTTATTAATTGTGCAGTTTTATTCTTGTTGTTTCAAAGTACTGTATAATTTATTGTTTTTAAAAATTTCAGTTTCTGTGGCTCTTGTGTCACTTTTTGTTGGCAGAGGGACAAGGCCAATACAGTAATATCTCCGTTAGCTGGAATCCTCAATCCCAGAACTCTCCGATAGCTGGAATCCTTCAATCCCAGAACTCTCCGATAGCTGGAATCGAAATTTTCCTGGAAAATCATTCCCAAAGTCGGAATTTTTCAGAAAGTTCCGGCTTTGGGAACGATTTTCTGCGGGGCACATTTTCTGGAAAATTCTGAGAAAATTTTCCTGATGCCTGGGAAATTCCGGAAAATTCCGGGGATGGGGTTTTTTTCTGGGTTCGAGAGATGAAAATGAGGTGCATTTTCCGAAAATTCTGAGAAAGTGTTTCCGGTACACACACAATTTCGGTGATGGTGGATATTTTTCCGGGTTTGAGAGATGATGTAATGGGTAATTTCTGGAACTTCTGAGAAAAATTTTCTGTTACTTGGAAAATTATGGGGATGAGGGATTTTTTCTGGCTTTGAGAGAGTCGTCTCGTTACCCGGAAATCTCTCATTCCCGGAAGTGCTCTGCACCAATTGTTCCGGCTAACGGAGATATCACTGCAGTGATACATGTGTATAGAGGAACACTTAGTAGATTGTTAATGATTTGAGCTCCAAATCTGTGTGTTTAGTAAATATTGATGATTTCAGTCCCAAATCCATGTTCAAGTGAAAATGGTGGACGTTCAAATGGTGGATGTGACCACATGTGCATCGTGACACATGCATCAACAGGCCTGGGCTACCGCTGTGCTTGTGATATTGGATACAGACTCAACACAGATCAACGGAGATGTTCAAGTAAGTGAAATCAGTACAGTATTATAGAAGTACTGTACAGTATTATAATGAGGTCTGTAAGATACTTACCATGACCAGTTTATATGTATACTGTATACTGTACACCTAAGAGGATGCACATCAGTCATTGAATAATTAGCTTTCATAATAAAATTTCATTGATATTACTCAGCATTATTTGTGAGTTGATGATTCTGCAAAATAAATGTATTTTTTTAAGTGGTTTAATAATACACTCATACACAAGAAAAATCTGAGACATGAATAAATACAGTACTGTACAGTATTAAACACTGTACCTGTAGCTACTGTTTATTCCTTCACCATGACACATGTTATACATGGCATTTGTAATACAATAATTCACATGTTTTCTTTACTAGTGAGGGAAACTAAAAGAAACTTTTGTGAGAAAATAATTTATATTTTTACTTTTTCAGTGGTAACGGAGTTTTTGATGTATTCACAACAAAAATTCATCAAAGGGCAGGTTTTAGATCCTGTTTCTGAGAATTTTAATGATGCCATCAACCCCATTGTGTCGAAAGCTGCAAGATTTGTGGGTCTTGATTTTGACCACCGCAATGACTACATCTACTACTCAGATGTCAGCCTGGATGTTATTTACAGGGTGAAGAGAAAAGGAACTGGTAAGTATCTTATTAGATTATGGTGAACTTTATGAATAACTGATAAGTTTATTGAAAAAATTTATACTAGTACAGAATATGCAGTTATGCCATTTTATATAATAGCACCACAGCATCCCTCAGTGTTGCCCACTTCATTATATTATCTGTCATTTGCACCCCCAACACCTAGAGCTTCTCCCCTCCCCTCCCTCTCACTTCAGTAACCTTCATCCTCACAGTAGCACCAAACCTCTCCCTCATCCTCACCCCAACTGTAACCTATATTCCTCTAATTAATTATTCCTTTTATTTCTCAGGCCGGGAAAACTTATTAGCTTCTCAAAATGAAGGTGTCGAAGGGCTAGCATTGGACTGGGCATCTGGGAATCTTTACTACATTGATAGTCGCAAAGGAACACTAAATGTACTGTCAACAGAGAAGCCAGAATATAGAAAAGTTTTGCTCACTGATCTCAAGCGTCCAAGAGCAATTGTTGTCCATCCTAACAGAGGGTCAGTTGTCTCATCATTGTGTATATTTGTTTTTTTGTAACTTGAATGTGTTATCAGAACTTCAGAAACTTAAACTTGATAACCTTCTTTTTTTATCTTTTGAATTTCATAGAATACTGTAGCTTGTACAGTATTCTATTAACTATTTTAATGAAGAAAACAGTCGAGTAATAGGAATTGATAGCAGTTAACAGTGTTTATATAATTGAGATTTAATGTCACAAAATTACTAATTTATTAACTTGGGAGAATATTTTTAGATATTTAAGAAAAATAGTTTGCAAGTCATGTATTTGTACTTAAAATTAATAAATCTTAAGCGTATAGTGTACTAAAATATATGAAAACTTTTATGTTTGAAAATTAAGAGAGATAATATCATTCATCATCACCTTTCAGGTATGTGTTTTACTCTGAGTGGGACCGTCCTGCTAACATCAGCCGTGCTTATCTTGATGGCTCCAAAGTTATGGTATTCCGCAATGTGTTGCTTGGCTGGCCAAATGGTTTGTCGATAGATTATGAAACAGACCGCATATACTGGTGTGATGCCCTTCTAGATCACGTACAACATGCTAATTTGGATGGCACTGATGTCCGAACTATTAGCTCTCAGAGCATTAGACATCCATTCTCCCTTGTCATCTATGATGGTCAGTGTGTTGTCTTTTGTGTCTATTAGTTCACTTAGACATTGAGCAATAATCTTAATTTAATTATTTTTTAAATAAAAATTCTTCATACAGTACCTGTAGTATATAAGTAGTACGGTATTAGTTTTGATTCCTAAAAGTAGTACAGTATTAGATATTTTGCAGGATGCACATACCCAGTAAGAGAAACTTGCTACGCATTACAAATATTTTTGTTGTACAGGAATCAATTCATATATCTGAATAATATCCCTTACAGATTGGCTGTATGTAACTGATTGGCGCCGTGATGCAATTCTACGGATGAATAAAACTGATGGTTCCCAGGAGAGAACTGTGGCGCAAGTTGCAGAGAGTAACCGTTTGTATGGTATCCGTATCTACAGTCTCAAAGCTCAGCAAATTATACCAGGGCATCCTTGTAAGAGTGAAAACCAATGTGAGAAATTCTGTTTCCCAGTTCCTGTTGGTGATACAGAAAACTTGAAAGCCCAGTGTGACTGTCCCTTAGGAGAGAAGATAAACTCAGATGGCCAGACTTGTCAACTTGACCCTGATGCTGAACCTGTGGATCCACCTTGTGCACCATGGGACTTCACTTGTGCTAATGGTCGATGTATACAGAAGACTTGGGTTTGTGATGGCGACGATGATTGCCTTGATAACTCGGACGAGGAGCAGAACTGTACGGAGGCCACTTGCCGGGAGGCAGAGTTCCAATGTGGGTCTGGAAGATGCATCCCCAATACCTTCAAGTGTGATTCAGATAATGATTGTGGTGATTTTTCAGATGAGACTGGATGTATCAATGTCTCCTGTGAAACTTCATATTTTCAGTGTGATAATGGCCGCTGTATTCCCATGAACTGGAAATGTGATTCTGAGAATGATTGTGGTGATAGTTCTGATGAAGGTGATTTTTGTGCCAATAAGACATGCTCTTACTTCCAGTTTACTTGTCCCAGCACTGGAGCATGCATACCTCAGGCTTGGGTTTGTGATGGTGATAATGATTGTTATGACAATAAAGATGAAGAAGGCTGTCCACCTATAGCATGTACAGCAGCCCAGTTCAAATGCAATAACCAAAGGCAGTGCATTCATGAATCCTACAAATGTGATGGAATCCCTGACTGTGATGATGCATCAGATGAATTAGGATGCCCTACAGTTGGGCCAGATGAATGCAATGATGAAAGTCAGTTTAGGTGTGAAAGGTCTGGCATTTGCATTCCAAAGAGCTGGAGGTGCGATGGAACTGCCGACTGTGAAGATTCTTCAGATGAGCCTTACACCTGTGGAGAGGTTGGTGCTTTATCATAGTTTGGTCTGTAATGTGCTTATACTGTACACTGTTACAAAAAGTATAAATGTAGTACAGTACAATAAGGATTATTTTACTGTACCTGTAGTCATTTTTAGTTGCTACACACTAGGTCAGGGACTGTAATTTTCAATGTTTTTATACCAGAGTGTTTCTCAAATATATGTTGCTTCTAGGTGACGTGCCCTAACAGCCACTTCCAGTGTAGAAATTCAAGGTGCATATTCCACTCCTGGTTATGTGATGGTGAAGATGATTGTGGTGATGGCTCTGATGAACACAATGAGCAAGCCTGTGGAAAGCCAGCCTTCAGGTAAGACCAAACTTATTTACAGTATTATGTTTTCTGTAGATTTTGTCATGCTACTATAAATTTGAGTGCTTACTGCATTATTGCATTGATTTGAGTAAATTCACTTGAATCTGGTATCAATTTCTGCAAAAAAATTCTAGTATGTAAATCTTTATTGTATTAGTACTTGTATTACAATTTTTTTTTCCCATATTATGAGTTTGAACTATTTTGAATCCTGATAATTTAAGCAATAAACAATACTATACAGTACTATTGTTTAAAACTAAGAGAATTTATAAACAATTGGTGTGTATTGCAGGTGTGGTGCTGAAAAGTGGATGTGTGAAGGAGTCTTAAACATCTGCATCAACAACACTCAAGTTTGTGATGGCAAAAAAGATTGTCCAAATGGAGCTGATGAAGGACCGGGGTGTGATCAAAATGACTGTGATGATGATGTTCTGTGCTCTGTGACATGTATGCAGACACCAAATGTAGGTTTAATATTGTTTATAATTACAGTCAGAGTTTTTGCTCTTTGACAAAAAAAAAATGTACAGTTGAAGCAGCCATGTCATTACACACATTTCTAGTTAATATCATTATTCTCCACATGTGATTCCATTAATTTATGGGCTGATTGCATGTATACTGTACCTTACAGTTCTGTAAATCTAGACTACAGTACAGCACTGTACTGTATAATATTTCATTTTTTACTTAGGATCCCACATGATTTTTAGAGAGGTAGAGGGAAAATAGTACAAATATATATTTTGCAATACGATACTAGGCAACAGATCCTACATATTAGATCAAAATACTTTAAAGGTTTTGTATATTTGATGGGCATCAGAGGTCAAATCTAATTTTTCTGTGCCATTCCCTTATTTTATGGTCAACATAGGCATGACCTCACACAAAGGTCTTTTTAGTAACACCTGCTCACTGTTACACACAGATGTTAATTTGTAGTACGTATTTGAACGAATTTAGTAAGAGTCTGTAATAAAGAATGATGGGGGTGAGGTAGACATGCGGTCACATATAGCACTTATAGTTTATCTTATCACTGCTCATTTATTTTCTTATTTGGTTTATCATTCCTATGTAATGAACTTATTTTCCAAAGATATGTCCAATAATTCTCAGGGTCGTGAGTGCACCTGTGATGCTGGAGAACAACTTATGGTTGGCAGTTCCACAGACTGTGAAGACATCAATGAGTGTAACCCTCCAGGCATGTGCTCCCAGACTTGCACTAATGAAAAGGGTACATTCATTTGCTCCTGTGCTAAGGGATACAGATTAGATGCATCTAAGACAACATGCAAAGCCCTTAGTAAGTTGAAGATTTTTGTCTGTAAGAATTATCCCAAGCTCATCTGGGCACTCCCTTGTTCTATCCTTATATAAAACCACACTATCCTTCTGCCCCCCCCCCATTTCCCTCTCGCCAACACACACTCAAATTTTCCTTGTCTTACACCCCACATTCCTCCGTGATATCCTCCTCTTATCTACACACTGCCTCATTCAATCATTGTATGACACTACGCACTTTATTTTAGCCCCTTCTTATTCACATAATCCTTCACTGTGTCCTGTACAACACCACACACTCATTGATACTACTCCCTCTTGATTATAATCTCAATCAGTTATATTAGTATGTTCTCAGTCTCCCTCTTCCCTTTTCATTCAGCCTTCTTAAGTACTTTCTCTTTACTATTTTTTTATCTTGAATATTGATATTGAAACAATTTATTTAGCTAGAAAAATAAAGGTACAAAGTAAACAAAACCAACAGCATTAACATGGCTGAGCTGAGCTCGAAAGCACTCTTAGTGGCACTTGATGAATACTGTACATTTATCTCAAAGAATTATTATACAGTATAATATAGATTACAACTTGTTATACTTGGTGTTTGGACGTGTGGTACCAACATGGGAAACTCCTTGGGTGTTATGCTGAATGGGGGCTGGGGCAGGTTCCCTGTCTAGTGGGTGGGGGTAAGGCCTTGTTGCCTTTGTGGTGGATTGGAGGGTTTCATGGGGATCCTGTATGGGGAGCCACTGTGGTGGGAGGGTGTCCACCTGCCTGGGGGTCCTTCACAACAAGGACTTTATAGCTAAACCTTGACTCTTGGCTTCCATTAAACTGATTCATTTTCAGTTGGTGGCTTTAGCATTCTTTTGTTTAGTGTTATTAAATACTTTCTTTTCTATTGCTATTAGATTTTCATGAATTTTTTATATAAGTTTTCCATTGAATGAAAAATATCTTCCTTTTGGTACAGATCGCTCAGAGGCCTTCTTAGTAATCAGTAATCGCCGCAGCATCTTAAGTGCTGACTTACACCAACGGAGCTTAGAAAGAGTGCCAGTGCTGGTAGAAAATGTTGTTGCCACAGCTTCGGACATGAAGAATGGCACACTCTTCTGGTCAGATATGAAAGTCAAGCAAATTGTGAAGCTGGAGAAGGGAGGCCAACCAGAAGTTGTAAGCAAATCTTTCTTTATGTTCTCTGCTTTTAATTTTCTCACTGACCAAATAGGAATCTGGGGGAGATATGGTCATCATGCTGTCTTCCATTCATCCATCTGTCCATTCATAGACATAATCTTGACCAAGCAATAACTTCACTTCTTACTGTGGGCATTTCAATAAAGGCTAAAGGACGAGGGTGAGAGAGACTTGGGCTAAAGGACGAGGGTGAGAGAGACTTGGGCTAAAGGACAAGGGTGAGAGAGACTTGGGCTAAAGGACGAGGGTGAGAGAGACTTGGGCTAAAGGACGAGGGTGAGAGAGACTTGGGCTAAAGGACGAGGGTGAGAGAGACTTGGGCTAAAGGACGAGGGTGAGAGAGACTTGGGCTAAAGGACAAGGGTGAGAGAGACTTGGGCTAAAGGACGAGGGTGAGAGAGACTTGGGCTAAAGGACGAGGGTGAGAGAGACTTGGGCTAAAGGACGAGGGTGAGAGACTTTTTTTTTTCATGTAGATTCTTGTTTGTTTGTTGAGTGTCTTACCTTTGGATATTTTATGCCCATCCTGCTGTTCAGGGCACCAGGATTTCCCTTGGCTTCTTACATGCTATAAGAAGTGCTAACAATAACCTCAAGTAGCTCACAGGTGTTCACAATGATACCAAGTGACTCATAATGTGCATGCCCAGTACTTGCCAACAGTGTGTAACAGAGACGTGACCGATCACCTGAGCGGCTAAAGAGCCTATCAGTGGTGAAGAGGATAAAAGTAAAAGTATAATGCCACCAAGTAACTCAAAGGTGAAGATGACTCACAGATGCTTTTATTTTCCTAAGTGACTCACAGATGTTCATATTGACATCAAGTGACTCACAGGTACTCACACTGCCCCAAGTGAATCATAGGTTCTTATAATGATGTTTATATTAGCTGATCCTTAAACATTTTCTCCAAAGTCCCCCCCCCCCATGTACTCAGTCTTACCCCTCCCCCACCCCATGAGTACCCCTTTCCTTTTAAAATAAAGGTGAAGTCTTATACGCCAAGATTATTGTCATCATTTGTGGCAAAATTTCACAGAAAGAGTCTTCACTAACACAATGAGCAGTGTAAAATATCACCAAGTAACACATTTGATTAAGCCATGGATTCTTTAATTTCTCTCGTATGCATAACATGTAAAATTAAGTTAGATTAATCGGCATACCTGTAATTGTTTATTATTAACTGTGTTTCAGCTTGTAGGAAGCGGGTTGGACCTTGTGGAAGGTTTGGCTTATGACTGGATTACTGGTAACATATACTGGGTAGACTCACGGCTTAATGCTTTAGAAGTTTCCCGGAGAGATGGTTCACACCGCATCATCCTTCTCAATAAAAACATTTCACAGCCAAGAGGACTGTCAATCGACCCCCTGGAAAAGTAAGCTATGTTTGCATCAACTGAAAATTTTATTATAAATGCACCTATTTTATGTAAAGAAATTGATTAGATGACATGAATAAATTAGTATGGGTATTTGTTCTTGATGTCATAACCCTTATCTTTAACTCATAGCAAATGTTTTTTTTACTCTTCTCCCTCTTTCCTTGAGGTATCTGTACCGCTCTCTCAACTCACCACATAAAACTTGGAGAGAAAATTAAGATTGGTAGGTAAGTAAGCTGGTGTATTTATATTTATTACGTTTTCTTTTGGTTGCCTGCAGTGCACGTTGGCTGTTCTGGACTGACTGGGGAGACAATCCAAGAATAGAACGTGTGTCCCTGGATGGTCAGAAACGGTCTGTCATTATCAATTCAAAGATATTTTGGCCCAATGGTCTTACTGTTGACATTCCAAACAAGCGGATCTACTTTGCTGATTCAAAGCTCGACTACATAGACTTCTGCAATTATGATGGAACTGGGAGACAACAAGTGAGTGTATTTGGTGGTGAATACTATAGGTAGAGATAGGTACATAGATAGAATTTTACATGTGTTTTATGTCTTAAAATATTATTAATTCCTCCCCCCCTCCCTTTTTTTTTTTAACTATTCTCTGCCTTTAGAGGTTTTTGTAACTCTACCCCTGCCAAGTTTTAGTTCTTACAGTAATTGTAACTTTTTCCTTTTTTTTTGAGAAGGAAAGTTTTGAGAATACGGTACATAAGAGCAATAGAATTTGCTAACCACATGCTGCTTCAAGGTGGTTGTTGGAATGCTTATTTTTGGTGATTCTATCTTAAAATACTTAGATCTAAATGAAAGTTTGTTGATGAACTATACAGTCTAGTACAGTAACCAGAACCTTAAGGTTTTGGTTTGGTATCAACTCACAATTCCTGTATCAGTGATCCAATTTCTATTTCACATTTTGATCAATGGTGAGGAGGATCTTAAGTAAATGAAAACAAACTTACTGTGCACAATGACAACCCCATTTTCTCTTCTTTTTCTTCTGTCATTCAGGTGCTGTCCCAGAGCCACTACTTACTTCACCCACACTCTTTATCCATCTTTGAAGACAATGTTTATTGGACTGACCGCCAGCTCAACAGAGTTCTGTCTGCCCACAAATTCCATGGCAACAATGAGTCTGTTGTATCACATCTTGTATCACAACCTTTAAGTATACATGTGCACCATCCAGTGTTACAGGTATGTACTATACAACAAAGTGTACACATCAACTTTAAGGAAAAATTTGTATGCTACAAAGGATCTGTTTTCTTTATGAGTGGGTTCTTATGTGTTAGTATCAGGAGACTATTAATTGGGGGCTTTCATTTGTGTCAAGGAACTTCTGTGATTGTGATGGGGAGCTTGTATGTTTCAAGATGCTATTGTACATTATTTAATAGGAGCTTTTGTGTTTGTTTTAAAGAACTATTTTGTTTATGTGGGGTTTATGCCTCAAAGCTGTTGTGTATACATGTTAGGGGTACACTATTTGATTTGGAATGTTGTCTATTAAAAAATTATAGTGCTGTATTGTGTTGTCAGGGATTTTTGTGTGTGTCAGGGGGGCTGTTATGTTTGTCAGAGGGCTGTTGTGTCTGTCGGAGTCTAATTTTTTATTTCATAGGCTTTAGTGTGTCCATGATTTTTGTTATGTGTGCTAGGTAAAGAAATATTCCAGTAGCCAACCTTTGCATGGAAAGGTAATGAAGAGAATTTGTACATTTTAGGAGTACCAAATAGTTTTTAATTTGTCGCTTTAAAGAATTCTCATTATTGTCAACAATATATAGGACGGTATTGTATTGTTATTTTCATTCTCAAACAGCCTGATGAACCAAATCCATGTGCATCCAACCCTTGTGCACACATGTGTCTTCTTAAACAGCCAACGGGATATACATGCTTGTGTCGCTCAGGTTATAAACTTCAGGGTGGTAAATGTAATCCAGGTAAGTTCTTTAGCGCTGTTTTTAATCATCTTCAAATCTTCTGTTAATAACCTAGGAATGATAATGTACGGTGTATGGCTAATTTTTACAACATGAAATGAGAAATCCATAAATATTGTACTTTATTTTTTCTTCACACTTTGCCTCCTGCTGTCTCATGTTTTTTTAGGAAACATTGATGATAGATATGGACAAAATGTTTTTGCATAAAACTTTAGTAAATAAAGACCAGTTGCCATTTTCATATTTTATTAGAGAATTGAGTCCCTGGGAATGTACAGTAGCTTGGAAATTATATACTGTAGAGTATATCAACAGTAATCTCTCTGTTAGCATACATTATCCTTAAAACATGAAAATGAAAGCCGAATTTTTGCACAGCTTTAAATACAAAAAAACATACATTCTTGAATGTGTTTATGAATTTCATACATGAAATGCATATGAAAACCCCAAGAAATTTAAAAGCTACTGTGTAATCTTAATAGGATTCCATCTAATCCAGTTAAGTTAAGTTTGACCATTGATGCAGTGAATCATCTACAGTACTTCTAACCAAAAACATTTCAGCGGAAACCCCTTACCTGATGGTGATGAAAGGTGGCCAGATAGTGGATGTGGCACTCAACCCTGGAGAGAAAGGTGCTGCAGGGTTCCTCACACCCATTGTTGGAGTTGAAAATGGACTTATGTTAGATTATGATCGGAGTAATGAAAGAATCTTCTGGCTTGAAGCCATCAAAAAGGACAGTGAAAATGTATGTGTATTTTATGTGTACCTATACTGTGCTGTATTATATTCATTGTGAGTGTAGAGGCATATGATCCACTCCATTTAGCTTTGAGAAATAATTGAACATATTAATGATAAAGGCACATATATTTGAAATTTGTATGTACTGCAGGCAACTTCAATGAACCTAGCAGCTGATAAAAGTGATGTTATAGTAAGATGAGATGTTTTAGGTTAGGTTAGGTTAGATTAAGTCAGGGGTCTGACCTTTTAAAAAATACTGTACCTGTAAATATCAGTCAATACCTAACTTGTGTTTCTCTTTCATTTAGGGTACAATCTATGCTATGAGTATGGCTGGTGGTAACAAAACAACGTATCTGGACCTGGGAATTGTTGGATCACCCTACACGATGGCATGGGATTGGGTTGGCCAGAACATGTATGTTGGAAACCGCGTTGCCAACAACATAGAAGTTCTTAAACTGGATGGCAAGAACAAATACCAGAGTGTGATCCTAGATAATAGTGGTGATGCTACTGGAGTTGGCAGACCCAAGTCTATGTGTCTTAATCCTGTGGATGGGTGAGTATTCTACTGCATTCTTATTTTTTCTTCAATTTACACTGACACATTATATTCTACATATTGTAACATCTGTTTATGTATTAAGTGTTTAGTACCTGTAGTATGACCCCATAGTGTGGAGACATTGAATAACAGTTTACTGCTGTGTAGACAAGGCTTATTATTACAGTACAGTACATTGAATCCATTCACAGTATAATTATACTGTAATATGTCCATTAGCCAGAACTTTTTGATGGCTGGAATTAAAATTTATTTGGAATTTTTCTGAAAAATTCCAAGTTTGGGAACAATTTTCCGAGGAATGCATTTTCTGGAAAATTCCAAGAAATTTTTCCCGGTACCCAGAAAAATTCTGGGATGGAGGATTTTTTCTGGGTTTGAGAGAAAAAATTAGATGCATTTTCCAGAATTCTGAGAAAACTTTCCCGGTACTTTGAAAATTTCTGGGAATGGGGAATTTTTCTGGGTTTGAGAGAGTGGTTTTATTACCTGGAAATCGCTCATTCCTGGAAGTGCTCTGCACCAACTGTCCTGGTTAATGGAGAGATCACTTGTGTACCTGACTTGTATTTACTTGTACATGTACAGTATTACCTTTTAATTTAATGTTCTAGGTTCTTATTCTGGCTGGATGACGGAGGTGTTGGTGTTCCCGCTAAGGTCGGTAAAGTTGGAATGGACGGCACTGATCCCGTTATCTTGTACAACTTTACACAACTTCAACCAGAATTTATCACAATTGACATTGAAGCCAAGAACTTGTACTGGTCAACCAGTAATAATGCTCAAGTAAGTTATATACATTGCAGTAGATATTCAAGATAACTGCATTGATGCCACATTATTTGTATTAAAAGTTGGCTGGAACACTGAGGCATAAACCTGCAGTGTAATGTGGCTAATGCTCATGATATCTGAAAATCACATAATTGATCAGCTTCCTGCTTTTATAGGCATCTTTAATCTATTTATTATTAAGGATGGCATTTGCAATATGTAAGTACTATAGCTATTAATTTAACCAATTGGTCAGATTAGTAGCCCAGCCATCTGTGTTAGGTGGCTTCTAAATCTATAGTATAGTAGTTGTGTGACCATACATGAACCACCTGGTTTTGGGTTCAGTTATAAAATGGGTTTTCACGATGAATCCTCATATTATATTTACTTAAATTTTAGATTAAGGCTGAATGAGGTGCAAATTCATCTTTAATACAGAAACTTATTGTAGCTTCTGAGTATGGCATATGGGCCAACAAATCTCTGCAAGTAAACAAGACATTGCATTCACAACTTAACAGTTTTTCTAACCAGTACTTGCTCAAGACATTAGGACCAGTACCTAGGACAGCTAGAAGTAGGGATTGGTAACACTGATTATGGCGACTCACATCATTAATCTTTTGGCTTGCTAGTACAGTACAGTAGTTTAATTTACACTGATGACAGTATTTGTAAATATACAATTTAGATAAAGTTTTTGTGTTTATTTGCACCTCATTACTTCCTTGCTTGTTATTTTGGTAAGCCATCATTGTCATCATTAACCCTTAAAATGGCAACCATCATCAGTGGAAGTTAGCTGTAGGGATGGTGGCCATCATCAGTGGAAGTTAGCTGTAGGGATGGTGGCCATCATCAGTGGAAGTTAGCTTTAGGGATGGTGGCCATCATCAGTGGAAGTTAGCTGTAGGGATGGTGGCCATCATCAGTAGAGGTTAGCTGTAGGGATGGTGGCCATCATCAGTAAAAGTTAGCTGTAGGAATGGTGGCCATCATCAGTGGACACTTCATGTTCGTACATTCCATATGGGGCAGATGAAGGGTTCCTTAGCAACCATTTAAATGTTGAGCACTGAATAATTTTGGGGGTTACTGTTGTTATATTTTAAGTACAATGTGAACATGAACATAATGTAAGGATTGTTTGGTAATAAAATGGTTATATAATTGTTTCTTTTGTATAATGTGGTGTCTTATTGATTTACATGCAGCCAGGTGAAAAAGTGGTTAAAAACCAGGTAAAAAATATTAATGTATGTCAATTTTCAAATTACTGTTAATTATATTTGCCTTCATAATTGTAAACTATAGCTTGTACATGTTGATTGCTTTAAATAAGATGCTCTGTAATCACACATCACATTGCAGATTATGACCACTGATGTGTATGGAAGGGGCCTCAAGATAATTCTTAGTGAAGCTAACCATATAGGTCTTCCCAGAGCTCTAGCTGTTTATGAGAGCAGTAAGTACAATTTTTCTCTCTTTAAAGTAAGCCGTAGCTTATCGAGTACGTACTGTTCTTCATAACTCTGAAGTCGCCAAAAGTCTCAGATTTATTTTTTTTATATGTACTGTACAGGCAGACCCCAATTTACGGGAGGGTTTCGTTCCTAAAAATCTTCTCATAAATAAATTATTTAACGCACCAGTTCCCAGTTGACCTCAGAGTGAAATACTGTACTTGTCCTTTACAGTACAAAGTGCTAAATATGGCACCCTTGGGACTTTGGGGTTACTTTTTATTTTAATTAAAATTTTCAGGCCATATTGAAGCATTTACTCTTAAAAAATATTTTAATTTATTTATTTATTGTTTTGTTCAATCCTGTACAAACTAATTTTGGAAGACAGAAAAAATAGTTAGTAAATGAGAATACAATAATTTCAGTACTGTACCTGATCCTTTACCTGTCTCCCACCAGTGATAGGGATGAAGGTGAATAATTCTTGTTCAATCCTGTTTACTCTTAAGCTACATGCTGTTGCATCAACTTTGGTGCAAAAATATATAACCGAGAATAGAGGAAAAAGGATATTATCCTGGAGAAAACATAGGAACCTTTATGTTCTTTATACAATATTTTAAATAAATATTCATCAATGATAAATTTTTTTCCAGGCTTGTACTACCTTGACTCCTTGTATGAAAAAGTAGAACGTGTGGACCTCCCGGAGGGTGGGAATCCCCAGTTGTTACTTGATAATGAACCTAATCTTAAGTCCCTGAAGGTGTTCCAGAAGCGGCCAGGTGAGATGAAAGAAATAAGTAAGTGTCCAACACCTGTAGTCTTTGCGTGCACCTCTCAAATCAAACATTGCTATGCGTGCTTTTCTTTTATTGTTTTTTTAATTTGTTAGAAGACGCCATCTGTTATTACATAGTTCATCAGTGTGTGGACTTACTGCTGCCCCGCACCTTTGACCCTACCATTGTCAAACTTGGTCCATGGGTTGCTCTTCTCCCAGGATAGTTTTAAGGGAGATGAAATAAGAGGGGTTTGGGATTTAATTAAGGCTAAAATGTACATTGTTTGCACTTGCCATGACAGATCAGTTGTGGGATGTACCAGGGATGAGGGACTCTTGCTCACTGCTAGTCATCCTAAATTGTCATACAGCATTGAAACTAGATTGTGACTGATAGTAAGATAAGGTTGCTATTAATTTAGCTAAAAAGTAACCTGGTATACTGTATTGTATTTTCTTCTTTGAGGAGATAAAAATAAATGAGTTTGCCATGCATTAGTGTTTGTATCAGTAAACTTCTCTGAGGCTTGTGAACTCTTGTAACAATCTGCCAGAGAGTGTTGTGATGGCATTGAGTGTGGGATCTTTCAAGACCAGACTTGACCAGACTGGAGCAGGTTCAGATACATTCAGGAGCCGGTGCATGCCCAATACCTGCCAACAATGTGCAACTGAGATGTGACCGACCTCCCAAGCGGCTAACTAGCTAATCAGTGGTGAAGAGGATAAAATTCAAATTCAAATAGAGCATGAGGGGTCATATTATAACATTGGTCATGAGAATAATTTGCAGAAAGTTTTGTTTCTTTCAAAATTTTTAGTTATTCCCTAATTGATGTGGTGGGTTACAAATACATACATGTTAATATTTGTGTTTAAGGGAAATGTTCTCACTGTTACAAGGATGACTGGTTGTGGCACAATATTGTTAATTTTCCAGTGTACTAGATGCAGGTCTTGGGTTCAATCCCAGCGTGGTCCCACACACTGTTTATCTGTCATCTTTTTATGCCTAAAAAATCCTGAACATGCTTTTGCACTTGTAAATGATTGCAGTACTCCAGTAATATCGGTGGATGTTATCTTAAATGTAACAGGATCTGCACGAGAGTTGCATATTTTAAAGCAACCTCAGCTTGTTATTCATGCACTTGCCTTACTTTACATTGCACCAAAACCTTAAATTTGCCACGAATCTCTTTATTTTGCATGACGAGTTCCTGATTTTATTGATGCTTGATTTGGGAAAGTGGTATGCCTTGTATAATTTGTAGTAATGGTGGCTTCAGGATTGTTACTCATAGTTAAGCCGTATTTGTTTTGCAGATGTCTGTTTATGGCTTGACAAAATACAAAGTACTAAGGATGCTCGTATTAGCATGTGTTTTATACAATATTTCCAGCTGTATTTAAGTGTAGCATTGAAAGGAGGCTGATTATTTATTGCAGTAAACTCCCATCACCTGACATGAATCTTTTCAGCTGATCTTATAGAATATAATGATAATGTATCCCAACTATAGATTTCTCTCATCATAGTATATCCTATAGTTTCTTTCATCTAAGATGGTAAATTATGTTCCCTGTTTTGTATTCTTCTTTAATGATGACTTGCAGGTCACTGAGAGTTTATTGTAGTATACGGTACTGTAATGGTACATTATCACCATTCATGTCTAGTTCACCCCGAGAGTTTTTTGGTAACTGAGTTTCTTCGTTCTTTAATGTATGACTTGGATTTTTTTCTTGCCCTTGATCTTGGTGCTGATTGACCTAAAATTTGAGAGTGCTGGGTAATTTACTACAATTGAAAATATTTCTTTTATTTTTCAGTCATAAACTCAAATCCATGTATGGTGGGTAATGGGGGGTGTAAACACATATGCATCCCAAAGATCAACAAACAGAGAGTCTGTAGATGCACAACTGGCTACAAACCTGATGGTGAGAGAAACTGCAAACCTTATGAAACGTTTGCTATTGTGTCCCAGTTGGAAATTGTACGAGGCTACAGTCTCGATGGAGCTGGGGAGGCCATGTCTCCCATTGCTGGTCCTGGTGAGTCCTCACATATTATTTTCATGAACAGATGTTGAAATAAAAATTGTACTTTCATTAAATTAACATGGTGGTTAAAAAATTATAGTTGTACAGTACTGAATAGAATAATCTTCAAGACGTATTTTCTAAGTTAATGTTTGTTTCAGGTCATAATGTTCTCCATGTAGACTATCACTACTCCAAGAACTACATATATTGGATTGAGTTTAATCAAGGTGGCTCAAATGGCATCTATCGATCAAGGTCGAATGGTTCTGAACTTGAAGGTGTTGTCACAGATGGCATCGGATCTAACGGAATCCGTGGTATAGCCATTGATTGGATCACCAATAATATGTACTTCACCAATGTGTTCCCCCATGAAACCTATGTTGAGGTGTCCTGGCTGGATGGTACTAACAGGATGGTACTCAAGAGTTTAACAAAAGATGCTCCAAGAGAACTGGCAGTTAATCCAATCAAGAGGTAAGAAATTAGCTAAAGGCTCAACAGTATTCTTAATTTTCCTGGTTGAACTTTTGTATTAATGTTTGTAGGTACAGAGCTGTTTTTGGATAATGGCTCAAATATAATAACTAAATATTTGGTATGAAAAAAATATTGACATTCTATGCAATCCCTTCACTGATTACATTAGAAACCAAATTGAATTGAATTTTTAATTTATTTTATAGGTATTTGTACTGGCTTGATTATGGTCAGTTCCCAATGATAGGTAGATCATATCTTGATGGGGACGACTGGAAACCAATAGTGACTTCTGGTGTGAGTAGTCCACGAGACCTCACCATAGACATGTTTTCCCATGATGTTTACTGGGTCGACTCTGCACTTGATGGCATCAACAAAGTAAGTAGCTGCTTTCTTGTATCTTTAAAGAATATATTACTGTGTTGACAGGCAGGTTTGAAATGAAAATACTGTACATTATGTATAATTTTTTTAACATTATTAGTATGATTTACTCTTCAAATTCTGTTTTTCATCCTGTATTGTTCAGTGTATCTTAGATAAGGCTAAATATATAACAACTGTTACTGTATCCCTAAAGCATATAGACACAGTTATGAGAATCTCTACTTTTAACTGTGTGTTGGTTATTACACTGTCTTGGGTAATTTAGGTTTAAATGTTTGAAATTTGCAGGTCAGTTATGATGGTAGCAAGCGGCAATTTATTCGTCGCAATTTACCCAATCCCATGGGCATTGCCCTCTACAATAATTACGTGTACTGGATTGACCGTAACCTTGCTACAATCTTCCGTGCATCCAAATACCCAGGTAACACAACCCAGGCAGAACGCATCAAGACCAATATGGATAATCTAAGGGACATTGCCATCTTTGATATCAGCAACCAACCAACTAAGGTAAATTAATAGAATTTTGTTGTACGTACTTTACAGAATATGACAATGAACACACTTCATCAACCTAACTCGGCCTGACCTGACTTGACCTAGCTTGATCTGTTACATTTTTTTAAGTTATAACTGAACTAAGTTTGATAAAGAGTGGGGATTATGTTGTAAGTATACCATATATACTCAAGTATAGTTTTAGTTTTTATTATAAAAAAATATGCAATAAATAGAGGGTGTAAACAATATTCACTTGATATTTTTGAGGGGTTAAGATTCATGCATTTCCGCGGGTCACTTACGATGAATGATAGCTACCTGGTACATGCTGATGGTAGGCTAACCTTACCAGGGAGCTCCTTTATCCTGAGCTTGCCTACCGTACCCACACTCTCTCTCATATTGTTGCTACCTTTTTTTGTAATAGATTATTTATACGTGCATACAGGAAAGTATTTCTGTAGGAAATATATTGAAAGAAAAGGTTTGAAGCAAAAATTTGGGTCAATAATGGCCATATCTGAACATGCTTATACCCAGAAGAAGTTAAGTTCATAAGATAACAATTAAAAAAATAAATAAATGCTATGTTGAATAGCACTTTTTCCAAGTTTTTCTTAAAAAAATATTTAATGAGCAATAATGTCTTGAAATGGACTGATTTGTCGAGACTTTGAACTTTCACATCTTATGTAGCAGTTCTATTACAGACTTTTGTTCTGAATTTTTCACACTGATGCATCTAAACCTAGGACTTTTATTATCAGAAAATTAAGTTATATTTTTATTATTACTCCTATACTGTAATTATTTTTGCAGGTTGATACACCATGCACAAGGCTTGGTAATGGAGGCTGTGCTCAACTGTGCTTCTCATTCCCTGTTGAAAAATCAATCAATCCTAGCTACCGATGTGCTTGTGCTTCTGGAGTCTTGGGTGAGGACACACGAAGTTGTGAAGACCCCAAAGAATTCCTCGTTTTTGCCACGAGAGCAGAAATCCGTAGTCTATCTCTGACTGTCAAGAGCAATAATGTACCTTTTGAAACCGTTAAAGGATTAACCAATGTTGTTGGCATTGATTTTGACTACAAGGACAGTCAACTGCTGTTCACACAAATACGACCAGACACAAAGATTGCCAAGGTTCCCAGCAAATCACCTTCCTTAGAAAATGTCACACCAATTTTGGATAAAGGAATTAATCCTGAAGGCATAGCATATGACTGGACATCAAAGAAGATATATTGGACTGACTCTGCTAATAATAGCATTTATGCCATGAATCAAGATGGTTCACACATTGTCATGATCATTCAAGTAGAACGACCTCGTGCAATTGTTTTGGATCCTTGCAATGGGTAAGTTACTCGGTATATTTTCTTGAATTGAAGTTTGGGGCTCCAGACACCATGGACTCTTCCATCTACTCTTGCTCACAAAATGTGAGCAGTCAAGCATGACAATTTGTTCAGAGGAATGGCTAAAGGCATCTCCTTTTGATTAGCTCAAATTGACTTAAACATGTGTGTGGATAAATGATGTGGATAACGGCCAAAGTGAGGGAATACAAGGTAATGGTGTTTTAAGTTGGTATTTAGCTCTGGAAGGATATATTTTTCTGTCTATCTTCATAATAATAAATTTATTGAAGAATTGCTTTGTTTTGAGGATTTATAGGAAGAGGGTGGAAAGTTGTCTATAATCTTAATATTCAAGGAATATTCATAATTACAGCATCATATTTAAAGTGATAATTGATGTAAGGATTTAAATATTATGTACAGTATTTTCATGGATTATTGTGTACATGCAATATTATCAGCCAGTCATACAAATACTGTACCTGTATCATTGATGCAGACATATGTACTTCACTGACTGGGGAAGATACGGTACATCAGGGAAGATTTATAGCTCCACAATGGCTGGGTCCTTCAAAGAGGTGATCATCGGTACTGATCTCTCTCAGCCAAGTGGCTTGGCTATAGATTATGACGATGGAATGCTGTATTGGACTGATGCAGTGAAGGAGAAGATTGAAAGATCTTACCTCAATGGAACTGGCAGAGAGGTTAGTAGTCATTATGTAAATAAGAGGAGCTGTTATTATTGTCTACAGTGGAAGTAAAGCATGTACTGTATCAGCTTTATTGGCGGAGTGAGCAAGTTGAAATAATTGGGTGAGTGCATCAGGGACATGTGTTGTCATCTTGATTAATAATGTCTTTATGGATGGAACATTAAAACATGAATTTAAAAAAGGTGATGGCAAATAGTGCAGAATATAAAAGAAACATGGTAACACAGGGCAACATTCATTACACGTGTGTGTGTGTGTGTGTGTGTGTGTGTGTGTGTGTGTGTGTGTGTGTCCATGCGTGTGTGTTTGTGTGTGTGTGTGCATGCGTGGAGGTTTACATAGTGTCTTTGTTTAGTGTACAGTATGTGCAAGATGAGGATATGAGAACATGTATGAAGTATTTCTTCCTGATTACCAAGTCTTTTCCTTTCATTTATTATATTTGTTTGACATTATTCTACCTAACTATAGCTCCTCTGTCTTTGGGGTTTGTCTATAACCTTTGATCCAACACATACACAAATGGGAGAAATTAGAGGAATAGATAAAAATGAAATAAAAACTTTTTTCCCAATGCAGAATAACACACACACACATTACTATACTAATGAGCCTTTATCAACACATTCGACTGCATCATTACGTTATCTTTTTTTCTTTCTTTCAGCTTCTTATTTCAGCAACAATTTATCCTTTTGCAATAACAGTTCATAAAAACTTTATATATTGGACTGATCTCCAACTCCGAGGAGTGTTCAGAGCAGAGAAATATACTGGCGGAAACATGGTCGAGATGGTACGCAGGCTGGAAGAATCCCCAAGAGACATTCACGTCTTCTCTGCAGATAGGCAAAAGTGTGAAACAAATCTGTGTAAGATCAACAATGGTGGATGTGCCCAATCATGTCTCCCAAGTGCTGATAATCAGGTAATGGTCAACATGCCCATTTACGTTTCCCAAGCATTGATAATGTAATGTTGGCAAGGAAAGAAAATTTGCTTTCTTTACCCTTTACTTACAGCGTAGCTTTTAATGTTTTGCTCCACTCTAGACTCCTGTTTTGAGTCCGTATTGTAGAAATATATTTTGGAAAATTTAAACATTGTTAAATTTTTTGCAGGTTCATCATACAGTATTTTTAGTGATAGTCTATTTTTGTGTTTTATATCTATAGGTTACCATATTAATTGTTATTGTCTAGTTTTCTAATACAGCTCTTCCCCGACTTACGACCTACTCGACTTACGACCACCCGAACATACGACCGCCTCAGTCGTACCAAAATGTTGTCAAATTACGTATTTTTGAGTCCCAACGTCAGTGATTGCGCTGTGTACTGACAAAATTTTCGTTTGTAATTCTCTTTATAATGGCTGGCATGTTTAAAAGTGAGAGTTTTGTGGTGCTGAGAAGAAAAAGAGACACCCATTTTAGGTTTTTTATATTATTAAGCATTTTCGATTTTCGGCCATTTCTACTTACGACCTGGATTTGGGTCCCTAACCCCGTCGTAAGTCAGGGAGGAGCTGTATAATATATAGTTACTTTGTTGAAGTTGTAGACAAAAATCAACTTAACCTCTAAGATGAAAGCTGCTATAGGTTGTTATTAGAGAGTTAAATTATGTTTCAGTAAAAAGAGGCAGTAAGTATTTACATGATATATAAAAAGTACAGATGATGTAACTAACAATACAGTACACCTTGTCTTGTGTTGAACAGGTGGGAATATATTGTGAATTTTTTTCTTTTAAGGTTGAGTGTAAGTGCAATGCAACTATGAAGGTGGTCAATGAAAACAAGATGTGTGTCCCACAGAACTACAGTTGTGATGTTAACAAATTCTATTGTGCAAATGAAAAATGTATATCCCGCTTATGGGCTTGTGATGGTTCAGACGACTGTGGTGACAACTCTGATGAAGATAGAAAGTACTGTAGTGAGTATTTGTGTCAATTATAAGTTATGTAATAATAAAAGTTTGGGTGTTTTTATCACAATAATGCTGTGTACTGTATTAGTGTAAGCTTACACAAAATTACGATTTAATGTTTTTACAAACTTTCTCCAAACAGCATATCACACATGTAGTCCTAGTGAGTTCCGCTGCAAGAATGGCCGCTGTATTTTCTCTACCTGGAAGTGTGATCATGAAGATGATTGTGGTGATGGTTCAGATGAAGAAGGGTGTGAGTATCCCCCGTGTGCTGAGGGAGAATTCACATGTGCCAACCATCGGTGTATTCCATTATCACAGGTTAGTAAAGTACCTCCACTTTTATATATATATTACCGATTGGGATTATCTCATAGTTCAGTTTGTAGATATTGAGTAATTACAAATTTTGATGAAGTACAGTACAAACAAACATATAAATTTGATTTAGATGCAAGCAATTCATTAATGACTTTCACATTTTATATCTCTATTTTAGTTATGCAATGGTGTCAATGACTGCAAGGACAAGCACACATCTGATGAGACAAGGGAACGTTGCCCAGAGGTGACATGTCCCTCCAACCACCTAAAGTGTGAGAACACAACCATATGTGTGGAGGCCTACTGGTTATGCGATGGCGACAATGACTGTGGAGATAACTCGGACGAGAATTCGCTTCATTGTTCAAACCGATCGTGCCCACCAAATAGCTTTAGGTAAAAATACAAAAGATAGAGTTGTTTTGTGTGTGTTGTTCTCAGTGTCAGAAGATTCCAGTGATTGTGTTAGACACAAAATTGTATCTTAAGTTTAGACTAGAATTTTGTATATCGGTGGAAAAACAGAGAGTTAATTAGTTGAGTAGTGGTGAGGTTGAAGGAGTGTCGAGGAAAAATACTGAGACTATGTGTGAGCCACCCTGCTGGAGAGAGAGAAATAATATTGATGGATGCTCATGTGCAGCAAAAACTGATGCCAGATGATGTAAAGGTTCACAAATAGGGTGGTGGACGAGTGGAACAAGCTTAGCAACTTTGTAGTAAGTGCGGGAACTCTGGAAAGTCAAAAGGAGGCTAGATAGATTCATGGATGATAAAGAGTGGTAGTAACTCTCGACAGGAGCTGCCATGCACAGGCCAACCGGCCTATTGCAGACTCCTTATGTTCTTATTACAGTACAGAACAGGGGGTCCCCGGGTTATGAACGGGTTCTGTTCCTGAGGACGTTCTTAAGTCGAAACACATGCAATGTGCACACCGTACTTACTGAACACTGTTTAAAATCCCACTATATCATAGCCTAAGACCTAAGTCCTTCTATGCATCTAAAATCACTTAATTTAAGAGAAAAGAAGAAATTGAATGACAAAATATAATAAATGAAAGTAAAAAATAAATCATCATGAAAATAAAATTCTGTAAATTTGAAGTTTAACCTCGTTCGTATCGGCAGGCATTCGTAAATCGGACGTTCGAACAGTTTTCAATACACAGTATAGTACAATACAATATTTTCACTACTGTTTTGTAAATTGTAGCAATTCTTTTACTTTGACCTATGTAGGTGTCCAAATCACCGTTGCATCCCTGGCTCTTGGCACTGTGATGGTGACGATGACTGCGGAAATGGAGCTGATGAGCCTGGCGAGTACTGTGAGCAAGAAGGTCGCACCTGTTTTGGAGACCTCTTCACCTGTGATAATGGAAACTGTGTACCAAAGATCTACATCTGTGATGGTGACAATGATTGCTTGGATGGCTCTGATGAAGATGATAGACACAAATGCAGTGAGTTGAATAATATTACTTTTATCCTCTGTCACTAACCCTTTGAGCTGGAAATACATAATATTATATGTCTGTGTGGGCTCAAACTGGCAAGTACATATAATTACATTTTAATTATTCACACCACAGTTCAATGACTTGTTTTGATTGCTGTGGCCTATGCATTATATACAATATCTTGGCCTTAGACAAAATTTCTATGCCATCACTTTTGGCTTAAATGTGTGTTTAAATATCAAAAAATAAAGCTTCTCTCTCCCTTGAAAATCAGTTGAAGCCAACTCTTGGAAGTTCATATTGTTTGCTTTTAAATATAAGATTTTTTCATATATGTAATAGACGTTTTTTTTCCTTAACTTGCTCTTGTTGGAGCGATGGGAAATATTAAATTCAGACTTAGTTGAGTTTTAACTGAAGTGGGCTGTTATAACTGCAGTTTATTCTGTTTTAATTATTGTTTTTGCATACTTTTGATGGTCTTTTATGATTAGAAAAATACTTTATATTGTTGTTATTATAATTTCCAAAAACTCACTATTCTAGATACAATAAAATACAGGCATTCCATAATTTCCAAAAGGGATCTGTTCCTGAAAGACCTTTCATAAATTATTTTTTTTTAAGTTGAGGCTCATTTTTCCTTAGACTCCAATTTCGAAAGCTGAGATATGTTCATTTGTAACTTAGAACTTTTGTAAAGGTAACCTTTGTAAATCAGGGACTACCTGTACAGTATTTAGAACTCAGTGCTAAATTGGTTATGCTATTTAATCGTTCTTAATTTGTTTTGTCACAAATAATTTTGGACTAAGTTCATTTTTTGTTACAGGAGTTATATCGAAAAAAAATTCCATGCCTTTTATTTTATTTGTTATCCTTCATTAATTCTTGCAGGTGTATAAGATGTTTTCTTCATCTTTGTTACCCTTCCACAGAAAGGCCCCAAATATGGTTTACCTCTGTCACTTGACACAAACCAACAGCACATATATCCTCAGTAATCACCGAATGTCATTCTGTCTGCTTGTTCTTGCTTCCTGGCTGACCATCCTCCTCACTTCTAATGTATTTTTCACCCCATCCTTCCATCTCCTTGGGCTTTTCCTCTCCATCTTGCCATCAGCATATGCATTATGCAGTACAGTAAACACTTTTTACCAATTTTTCTTTTACCATTGCCACAATATTTCTATACTACATGAACTAACCCTGACCTGCTCTGCCCAAAACTTCTTTCACCTCTGCATCTCTTTATTATTGTAAGAGAAATTATAAATGCACTTACTCTTGTTATCATCAGACAACCGCAAGTGTAATGAAGAAACAGAATTCACATGTAATGCCAATAAGCAGTGGGGTCGAGCAATGTGCATTCCAAAGAAATGGGTGTGTGATGGTGACCCAGACTGTGTGGATGGTGCAGATGAGAACTCCACTGCACTTTACTGTCCTCCACCACCAGACTGTGGGGAAAATGAATTCAAGTGTAACAACAGACGTTGCATCAGCAAGGTTAGCACAAACTTTAAAGAATTTTCAATACAGTATTTAGGGCAAGGTTAGTATATATATATATATATATATATATATATATATATATATATATATATATATATATATATATATATATATATATATATATATATATATATATATATATATATATATATATATATATATATATATATATATATATATATATATATATATATATATATATATGGAATTTTCTAAAGGGAATGCTGCTATCTGTATATTTCTAGGTTATTGTCAGAAAAAATTGAGTGATACACAAAACACCCCATTGAGTTTTCTTTTAAGACATCTAGTATTATTTTATTATACTGTAATCCCTTTGACCCTTAAACAACAGTGATCATAAGTAGATGATGAGCTCCTTTTGTCCTTCGTTGAGAGTGACCGTCGATATAATTAGGAACTTTTGTTCCATGCACTTAATGCTTTCTTTTTTTTTGTCTTCATGACTTACCGGTAAGTAAAAAATCCAGTAAACCTACATTAACTGGGACCATTGTTAATAAATTTATGAATCTGCCTGAGAGTGTTCCTAGGGCATGAAGTAAAACTATTAATCTCTTGGGTACAGTACGGAGTTCACTATCTGCTGAATAGTATCTTCTAACTAAGGAAAATATGATGATTATTTAAGTTAACCTGTTTATTCCCCATGAAGCTGTGGTGTAGCAGTGGCTTCTACAGTTTATCACTAATTCTTGTATATTTATGCACTCATCTTAGTAGCTGCAGTGAAGAGTAGGAAAGAGAACACTAATGGAGTTGCCATGAAACACATGGGCTTAACATGAACTTTGAGAGAGGATGGTGATAGGGAAGAATGGTTTAAATGTACATATACCTGTAAGGCATACTGTATCTTTAAACAAGTTGGTAGTCTTATTATTCCTAGGATTTTCCCTTCATTCATTGTCATTAGTTAATTCTTATTGCTGGTACAGTATTGCTAAATATTTCTTTGAACTATTGGGTATACCAGTAAATTAACCTTTATGGGTTTCAGGACTGGGAATGTGACTTTGACAATGACTGCGGTGATGGTTCAGATGAAGGGCGGGAATGCAACGAGAAGTACCGAGAGTGTACAACTGATGAATTCAATTGCTCAAATGCCAAATGTATACGTAAAACTTACTACTGTGATGGAGAAGATGATTGTGGGGACAATTCAGATGAAGTTGGATGTGGTGAGTTATTGTTACCTCTTTAATGATGCATTAATATGGAAACTACAAACAGCTATGTAGAATATGACCTTTCTCTTTGGTACCTAATAATGTGATTAGCACTGCAGTTGTAATTGTTAAGAAAATTGCCCTGTGACTAATTCCCACACTTCACAATTCCAAATACAGTATTTATGTTAGTGTTGGTAATATGATTAAAACCTTCTTGCAATGTTTCATCCAACACTTATCAATATTGTTTCTTCCTTGTTTAAAATATTTCAATTGTAATTTTGTAATAATAATAATTATAGACAAATTATACTTTAATTTTATGACTAAGAGTTTGTCTTTCTTTTTGACAGAGCCGGAGAAAAAGTGTGAGCCAGGGCAATTCCAGTGTAAAAATGGAGAATGTATAGCCATGAAGCTAGTGTGTAATAAAGTGAGTGAGTGCTCTGATGACTCTGATGAACCACTTCATTGCAATGTTGATGAATGTGCAAAAGTGGAACTACATCAATGTGGACACAAATGTATTAACACTCTCATTGGCTTTGAATGTGCATGTAACACTGGATACAAGTAAGTAACAACAACAACTTCCATTTTGTGTTCAACTTTTCAAGAAAGTTGTTTACATGAATATGAAATATTGATATTGTATAAAACTATAACTTTTATTAACTCTATAGGTGTTTTCAATCTAATTATTTATGTATCTATAATTACATAAAATCAATACTGTATTTTGTTTTCAACAGGCTCATGCCAGATGGTAAGGCATGTGAGGATATGAATGAATGCTTGGAGACCCCAGGTGTGTGTTCACAAACGTGCTTCAATACCCCAGGCTCTTACAACTGCAAGTGTGATGAAAAATATTACGAACGAGAACCAGATGGTCACACATGCAAACGGCGAGATGATACACCACCATGGGTATTCTTCACCAATAAATACTATGTGCGAAGGTTAACTACTGATGGATCACAATATTTACTGATGCATCAAGATCTTAGAAATGTTGTAGCTCTTGACTTTGATAATAAGGAGGAAATGTTGTACTTTGCAGATGTAACAGCAAAGACTATATATAAAGGTAAAATTAATGGCTCAGAAAAGCAAGAAGTAATTAAACATGATAGCCATGGACTTGAAGGCCTTGCAGTTGATTGGATAGGACGGAAAATATACTGGTTGGATAGACATAGCAAACAATTAGATGTAGCTGAACTGAATGGAACCAATCGCAGAACATTGAAAGCCAGTGGAATCAATGACCCAAGAGCAGTAGCTGTCCACCCAGGTATAGGATACGTTTACTTTACTGACTGGCACCTTCAGACATACATAGGACGTATTGGCATGGATGGTTCAAACTTCTCTCGAGTTCTTAGTTTTGATGATAAGGTAATATGGCCCAATGCCCTCACTTTTGATTATTTTACTGATCGAATCTATTGGGCTGATGCTCATCTGGATTACATAGCATTTGCTGATCTTGATGGCAAAAACCGGCACGAGGTCATACATGGTACCAAAGTTCCACACGTGTTTGCCATCACTGTGTTTGATGATTATATGTACTGGACGGACTGGAATTTGAAGGCTATTCTAAAAGCTAACAAGTTTACTGGTGAAGATTTCCAGTTCCTCCGCAACACCACGCACCGACCCTATGACATCCACATGTACCATCCTTTACGTCAGTTGCCATACAAAAACCCCTGCGGTGACAACAATGGCGGCTGCTCTCATCTGTGTTTACTCTCACCTACTGAAAATGGAACAGTTTCATTTACCTGTGCTTGTCCTGACCAGTTCTTCTTACAACGAGACAATAAGACTTGTAGTGCCAACTGTACTCAAGGACAGTTCCACTGTGCTGGAAGTGATGACAAGTGTATTCCCAAGTACTTGAGGTAAGCCATAATGATTTATATATACTGTATATATAAATAAAGAACTTGCAATTTGAAATCTCAGTAGAGGTATCTTAATATTTGAAAGATTCTTAAAGAAAACCATAAAATTCCATTTATAGGTGTGATGGCGCGAAGGACTGTGCAGATGGAGCTGATGAGCCCCCAGGTGATATATGTCCAAAGAGTAAGTGCCGATCTGGATATTTTCGGTGTGAAGATGGTGAGGGTTGTGCAGCACCCACGCAGCTCTGTGATGGACAGACTGATTGTAAAGATGGGTATGTACTACTTGTTATTATACACAGTGTACTGAGCATACAATACACATATGATAACTCGGATATAATATGATACCTGTTAGATATCACTTGGAAAGAAATGAATGGTAAAATAGGACCCATACCTAGTAGGCCCTATCCTAACTTAAACCATTAACAATGGGATCTAGTCCTAATAGGCCCCATTCTTAGTGGGTATATGTCCTAATAAGCCACAGTCCTATTGGATTGGGGCCCTTTTGACCTGCAACCATGAGGGAAATGATACATACTGTCGCTATAATTTTTCCATTTATATTTTTCTTTTCTTTTTTCTGATCCATAGATCCGATGAGAATAATTGTCACCTTGGATGTGCAGATCTGGAATTCAAGTGTAAGACTACGGGCAAATGCATCAACATAGCCTGGAAATGTGATGGAGATAAGGACTGTCGTGACGGCTCAGATGAGAGCGGCTGTGGTGTGTATATATCTCGCTCAATACAAAGGCAGTGTTTAGAAGGTCTGCAAGATGTCATGTGGTAGTAAAGTTGAAGAATGAAAATAGTAACTTCGTAGTACAGTGGAGGAGTCCTGTAGTAGTCAAACCATGTACCGTATGACCTTACATTGATATCATTCTTGGCAGGTTACTGTAAAATAAAGAATCCTGACCACGTTAAACCTTTTTCTATATTAGAAGGATTTTATCACATCATAGTTTGAGAGTGCAGTATACAGAGAGTTTTGGAAAGAGCAAGACAGGTGGTGGCATATTAGTGGAATACTGTACTGTACAGCAGAGTTTTGTGATGGTGGCTAAACAATTGTCTGCCACTCTACAGATTATAAACTTTTTCATTACCAATTTGGTCAATCTTGAGATCATGTAGATTTGTTATAAAAGCTCGGTGGGAGGAGATCCACCCCGCAATTCATGAAGCTACAAGTACACAAGTTATTAAATAAACACTGAAGATTGGCCCCATACTAGACTTTATGATCATGATTGTGGTAGTATTTGCACATTATACATACTTTTTTGTAGCATACTTTTCACGGATGAAGGAATTATCATAATTTTATAATCTATGATGCATGTTATTTTTTAATACTCACTGTTCCCAGACTTGTTGATGATAAGCTTTAGTTCTAAAGAAAATGTAGAGGAGATGGAGAGGAGAGTACAGTATGTAATAAAATATTTTGGTGTAGCGAGAGACAGAGTTAGAGTGAGTGTAGAATTGAGAAAGGATGTAAGTAATCATCTGATACTTAATTTTTAATTTTTAATACAGATGTTTGATTTGAGATAACTTCCCATAGCAAGTACAGTACAGTAATTTACCCTTCACAATTTTTTTTAATACAATTCATTTGCAGATAATCGACCATGTGACGAAGAAATAGAGTTCAAGTGCGATAATGGGAAGTGTATATCAAAACAGTGGAAATGTGACCAGGACAATGACTGTGGTGATAACTCGGATGAACCTGCATTCCTTTGCCGACAGAACAATTGCACTGAAGGATGGCGAAGGTGAGATTAAGTGATGGTTAATGTATTGGAAAGACTGAAGAAGATACTAAGAGATACAGTATTTGTGAGGTGACACAAGTCTTGAGCCTCTTCTTGAAGTGACTATTTCATAAACTTTATTCTTCATTGAAATGGTATTGAATACTCATTAATATGTAGTTCAAAGTTAAAGTAAATATTATACTGTATATTAGAAAAAATAGGTTCATAGTCAAGTGAGTTTTATCTAAAGTTTTTGAGTTCCCTTAGGTTACTAATACTCCAGAAGATCACTAATTAAGACATATGTTTCAGTACTTACAGGTCATTAAACACTAAAAATATAAAAAAAATAAAAATATCAAGATGCCCTGGGTAGTTTAGGTACTCATTTCCTTGATAAAATGTTTATACATATTAGATAATGGCATATTTGTGCAGGTGTCCGGGCCGTACAAATTACCGGTGTATACCAGAGTGGCTGTTCTGTGATGGCAAAGATGACTGCCGTGATGAAACAGATGAACTGGTTGAACACTGCCCTAAATGTCACGAAAGTGGAGACTTCCGGTGTACGAATGGACGCTGCATCCCAAAGTAAGTAATATATATATTTAAAGAAGCTTATATATGAATAATAAGCTCCAGAAATAATGGATTTGAAACATGAAAAATAACTATATTTTCCATTGTTTGCTAACAATGCATTGGTGTCCATATATTAAAATATCAAGTACTGCACATGTTAGGTATTTTAAGAGTTTTAATTTTTAATATTTTCAGGCGTTGGTTATGTGACTTTGAGAATGACTGCGGTGACAACTCTGATGAAGGAGAGGAGATGTGCCGCACCCAATACCGGGAGTGTTCAGAGAGTGAGTTCCGGTGTAGTAATAATAAGTGTATTCCAAACCGTTGGCGTTGTGACCACGACAATGACTGTGGAGACAAGTCAGATGAAGAGAATTGTGGTGAACACAAGTGCAGGGTAAGAGTATGTGGTTTATATTGCTGAATAAAATAGTTTTTGTATCACAGTGCAACCTCAGAAATCCAAAACAGTAATTCCTTTATTAGTTGTGAATAAATTATTTCTAGGTTACTGAGTTTTGTGATGTACTTTACACAGTTTGCTGCTGTCTTTCTGTACTGTAATGTCTGAAAAGAATATATTATAAAAGTAATGTTTCATGACTTTCTTTTGTTTTGTTGTGCTCTTCACACAATAGAAATTTAAAGAAAAATAGATTGCATACAATTACAGTATGTATTACTGTACTGCAATCCAGTATTTGCTCTTCAGAGATAATAAACATTCTAAGTTGTCAGGATATGGTTCCTCAGGCTTAGTTACTCAAAAGTTTATACATACTTTACTGTAACACTGTGTACTTACCCCCAATAAGCCTCCATATTACTGTACTGCATATAAAAATTATCCAAATCTACTAATATTTATTTTCAGCCTAGCCAGTATCAGTGTTCTTCTGGTCACTGTATCCAGGAACACTTCCGCTGTGATGGCGATCGCACCTGCCATGACCTGAGTGATGAATTGGGTTGTCCTCCACGCTACCCAGGCGAACGCTACTGCCCAGATGACAGATTCCAGTGTGACAACCATCTTTGTGTGGGGATGCAAGATCTTTGTGATGGAACCAATGATTGTTATGATAACTCTGATGAACGTGAAACTCTTTGTAGTAAGTATTTTTAGTATTGAACTCTTATGGTTTCAGATGCTTAGGAGTACACTGTATATTGTTAAAATATTGTTCTGCCTACTTAAGAATTAATTACCCAGCACTTTTTCTATAATGTGTGTGGAAGGTGGGTACACAAGTGATGCAGTGGAGTAGATGGCAGACTGACTGTAAGTGTTCTGTATGTGCAAGTAACCATGTACCCACAGCAGGGCTGGAGAAACTGAACATTGGAGATACAGTATGTCCCTGTTACCTGTGTGACATGATCACTGCCGGTGAGGGTGTGGAAGCCTCCTGAGTTGCAAGAGTCAGATGTAGCTGGAGGAAGTTTATGGAGCTGCTGATGGCAAGAAGACCTTCCTTCCCTCCGAGTGAAAGGAAGAATGTATGTGGCTAGTGTGAGAAGTGTGATGTTGTATGGGCAGAGGTTGTAAGAAATGAAATTTAGAGTTAGGAACATGACGAAAGAGACTGCAAGAAACTGTGTAGCATGGAGAGCTACCATCAGGTAACTGTGGCTAATCCATGCAAGCATGGAAAATTGCCGTTAAATTATGATGATGATGATGAAGGAAAATAAGAATGATAAACGTGTTTAATTCAGAAGTAAATGGTAAGTGAGAGGTGAAGACTGAAGAGGTGAAAAGATGGAAGGTGTCACATAAAATGGGGACTGAAATCAGAGAGCATAATCTCAAGTGATTTAAAGAGATGGATGTGTTGTCGATGGGTGATGTAGAATAGTGTAAAGTGATTTGGGTAAATCGGGTGGAGAACTTGGTTCTGTGTTGTCTACGAGGAGCACCATAGTAGAATACATCTAGTACAGTACAGTACAGTAGTTCAAGAACAAATTAAAGCGAATGGTACAGGAGAAACTTTGTAGCTGTTGACACCATCCACAGTGCATTATGACCTGAGAGGCCCGTAGGTGTAACTAGTTACTCTTTATTAAATTTATTGTTAATTGATATGGTACTCCCATCTTGGGCATTACCTTAATTCATATGGATGTTATTATAGGTATTAATTTCACTTTTTTTAATTGGGGAATGTCACACCTTAGGACAGGCTGTGCAGATTAGCGGTGCCTGGTAGCCTGAACTAGGGGCCGGTCAAGTGATTTTTCATGCCCATGTGCTCAGCACTTGCCTGGAGAATAAGTTAATATTTTGAGGTCTCAATACATAGGGAATATGTTGGGTGCTGTGTGACCCCACCTCCCTGTACATTTTAACCAGGGAGGTCTGTCAGCGGGCTGCTTGTCATCAGTGCACCAGGATTAGTGGTCTATGTCAGGTGCAAGTAATTTATCTTTATTTTCAGCTGCCAACTAACCTATTGTTTGTCAGTGTTAAGTTGTCAATATTTCAAAGAAATCACCTAGCTGAGTGCCTATAGATGTTAGATGACAAGTTGTGACCTCACATAACAAGTGTTACAGGAATTATGACCTCACATGACAAGTGTTACTGCCACTAACACCAGATTTTAGGGGGGGAGGAAGTGGTAGGTAAGGTAGGTGATCATAGGTGCTGCCTCTGCCTCCCCATACACCCTGCAGGTGTGAATGAGGTGATAGGAGTCATGACATCACATGACAATGGTAACTGGCACTGACACCAGCTGGAAGCTGCAGTTGTCCACTGGATGGAGTAGGATGAACGTAAAAAATGGGGGAGTGCATTTAAACAGACACAAGTGATCCTCGAGTTGATACACACAATAAATTTGAGTGTCTTAAGATATTTATTTAACTTTTCCCATAAAAAATCTTGGCAAGCAAATTTTTTCAAAAAAATTGACAGAGCAAGTAAAAAAATATCTGGGCAAGTAGTTGTCAAAAGTCACTTTTCCAGGACAAGTATATACGTATTCCACATAATTTGTCTAGTCTGCCTTTGGTTATCATTAGCTGTTGCAAGATACTGAAGATAGAAATATATTTCATTACATACTGTATGTACTCTTTTTCCAGATAATTACACCTGTAATACACTACGGCGTTTCCAGTGCAACAACCACAAGTGCATCCCTCTTTATCAAAAATGTGATGGAATGGACAACTGTGGTGATGGGTCAGATGAGAACAACATGACTATTTGCTCCCATCGACCACGACCTTGCAGATTCAATGAGGAATATCGTTGTGCCAATCATAAATGCATTCTTTCAAGCAAAATCTGTGACCACGCTGATGACTGTGGGGACTCCTCCGATGAGCTTGGTTGTCGTAAGTCCTTTTGGAAATATTATAATTTTGACTGACATGTGAAGTATTCTGGCTGTTTCTCGTAAATTTTCATGGAAAATACACTACTGTATTTACAAAGTGTTTGAAAATGTTCATAACTCAATGTTGTATTTTTCAGATACTTTCTCAAACTGCTCAGTGGGTGGATGTGAGCAGTCATGCTTGGATCTTAAAGATGGAGGCTATGTTTGCCATTGTTTGCGAGGATTCCGAATTTCCCCAGACAACCCAAAAGTTTGTATTGACATTGATGAATGTGCAGAGTTTACTCATAATTGCTCACATCTATGCACCAACGTGAATGGAACTCATGCTTGCTCATGTCGGGAAGGATTTATAAAAAAACAGAATGGTGTTTGTCGACTGAAAGAAGGAGCCATCACTCTTGTTTATTCTGATAGCCCAGAAATTCGAGCCTTTAACATAACATCCAATAGGGCTTTGAATGTCATCAAAGGGGACAGCATAGAGTCATTAGATTATGAGCCTAAATCTGGTATTGTATACTGGACCGACTCTTATGGAAAGACTATTAAAAGATCATATCTTCCTGGATCACCTGAAAGGGCAAATGTGACAATGGGTTATGCTCAGAATTTGGAAATTAAAAGTCGAGCCAAACCTACTGGACTTGCCATTGATTGGGCAGCCATGAATCTTTATTGGAGTGAAACTGACCGAACTGGAAACAAACCTCGCGGTGCTATATTGGTGGCTACCCTCGATGGACGGTACCGCCACTCAGTCATCGCCACTGGGTTGGAAGATCCTACCTCAGTAGTTGTTGATCCTGACCATGGTTACATGTTCTGGACAGACATTGGCTCTATTCCAAAAATAGAAACTTCTTGGATGGATGGCAGCAAAAGAAGAATCCTCGTCTCTGATGCCATTAGCCAACCTACGGGACTGACTATTGACTTTGCAATGGAACACACGCTGTACTGGGTGGATGCCAAACTCAACAAGATTGAGATGATGCGTGAAGATGGTTCCAAGAGAACTCTTGTTGCTACAGGAAATCACCTGAAGCATCCTCTGGCTTTGGATGTCTTTGAGACCAGCTTATACTGGGTTACACGTGATTCGGGAGAAATCTATAGCATGGATAAGTTTGGACGTGGGGTGCCAGTGAAACTCCCAGGAGAGTTTGCTAACCCATCTAGTATTAAAGGTGAGCTTATTCTGTTAATATTTCCCCAAATTTGAAAATACAGTACCTCCAATATTTGTATATCCCCTTCAAACATTTTCTGTTATGCAGTATGATGGCCAATGGAGGAATTTTCTTGACATCTTATGAATTAAACTGTGCATCTCTTCATACTATTTTTTTTTTTTTAGAGCTTGTATAAAGGTGAAAACTCATTGGTGCAGGTAGGCCTTATACTGTACAGTATATTGATACATTTCTTCTTTTTTTATTACAGTTTTTGCAGACAAGAGATATAACACAAGTATAATCAGCATATGCCAAAGGGACACCCCGTGTAGCCATCTTTGCCTCATTATCCCTCAGGGCTACAAGTGTGCCTGCCCTGATAATAAGGGAGTCAAGAATACATACCCTAACTGTGATGCTCGTAAGTATTACCTGCTCACACATGACCTTTTTTTTTTCCTGTTATTCTGCTAGATGTTTATTAGCCTTGAGATGGGTTTAATATATTGCTCAGAGAAAAAAATATTATAAAAAATAGGGATATTATTTTAGTTTTACCATTCTTTTATAAAAGTTTTTCAATTTACATGACAACAAAAAATATGTGGAGGATTGATGTTCATGATTCCCTTCAAACTTTGTTAAATTAAATTAATTGTTACTTTTGCCATAGACCTTCATGGGAGCTCTTGTCTTACTCCTTTATTGTAGATGTGAAACTATGAGCTTTCAGAGTATACTCTACTGTACAGATTTAGAAGGAGAACTTTACAAACCTAATATTGTGTACTCAACTATAAGAATTAAGAGTATCAAAAATGTGAAAAATGAAGTAGAGTATAGCAGTTAAAAGGAAGAAAGTGGATGAAGAGCTGTTTTGTGGAAGAAAGAATGACACACAACAAAAGAGAATCCATGTTACACGTGACTCAGGCCACCCTGCACCATGGTGCAAAAATGCTTTCAAGAGTGGAAAAAGTAGACATGTAGAATGTAATACAAATGATAATAGCACAGTGGATGGAAAGATTGGAATAAATTGTTAATAAGAACTAAGAATATATGGCAATTATATTAGGAGAGTGACACAGGGTCCAACTCTGTTGAGAAAATATTTGCATGAAAATATATGCACGTCACTTCTTTTGTATAGCAATAATCATTAATGTACATTATAAATTTTCAAGAAAAATTTAATATTTTTTATTCAAATGTCTTTCTTCTTCAGCACACGAGCCCATGAAAGCTAAACCCCTCGGCTGTGGGTGTCTACATGGAGGCGTCTGCACAATGAACAGTTCTAAAGTTCTTCGTTGTGAGTGCCGTGAGGGCTATTCCGGGGAGCTTTGCGAGACCTATGTGGCACGCAGCTTTATTCCACGACAGCCTTGGTCACCTGCCACTGTGGTCGTACCCATAGTGCTCATCATCCTAGTACTAGGGGTACTTGCGGCTCTATATGTTTTCTTTAATCGCCGTCATATGTAAGTGTCAATAAATATTTATTGGAAATTATTGTTTTATAATATATTAAATGTATCTTATATCAAAGGTTTCACAGCTTGTTACTTGCATCCAGGTACAGTACTTATTTCTTAGTTCTTATTCCAAGAATTGAAAGGCTTTTCCGTTCTTGCTTGATGACGTAGCTGGAGCTAGTCTTCAAAATAAAAGGGGAGTATTGGGAAGCCTGGTGCACAATCACTGGTTGCTACAAAATGACACCTGTGAGGAGTGAAAAAAAACATCAATATGCAGGTCAGCAGAATACATGCACACATTTGTTAACATTTTAAAGGAGGATATTTTAGGTGCTGATTGATTTATCTTTAAAAGTTTGAGATGACCCAAAAGAAATTATTTATATATATATATATATATATATATATATATATATATATATATATATATATATATATATATATATATATATATATATATATATATATATATATATATATATATATATATATATATATATATATATATATATATATATATATATATATATATATATACTATATATATATATATAATTTAATTTTTATTTTTTTATTTTTTTTATGAGAAAGATTTAAATTTCCAGGGTTTCCTTCTACTGTACTGTATAGTATATCTTTAGGATTGTGTCACCATCAACAAGTGCATAGTGTTCTTATCTGTTGTGTGAACAATGGGGGAATCCAATTGTCCACTTTGGTCAGGAATTGAATAGGCATCTACTGTATTTGCTCTTAGTAAGGTGTTACTAGTATGGAGTTAATTGCAGTACAGTTGAGTCTGCATTTACGCAGTCAATTGAACCTGTGGAGGCCCTCATAAAACGAGAAACGCGTAAATGAAATAACAGAAACTCCACTTTTTCCCGACACAATACGTACGTTGTAGTAAAAATGACATCTTAATTTTATGATGGTATGCTCACATAATTAATAATTAAGAGAAATATCAATAATATTAGGTTTTTTAACACGTACGTTAATAGAAAAGATGGCTGGGCACACGGGGATGGGGGGTTGGTTCCGAGGCAGAGGGCAGATTATTGGCCCTCACCTGTATCACTTGTATCAATTGTATCACTATCCACCACAGAGGCTTGCAGGGCCTCTATGTTAAACCCCTCAAAGTCCATATCCTCACTGTCACTATCACTGACTTGGGCCGGCTGTGGTAGGTGGCGGGTGAAGAACTCGGTAATGTTTTGATGACTGGGCGACCTTGTGCGCACCCTGCCTGCTCCGCTTCTCGCGTAAATGACCAAATTTACCGCATAATTAAAGCATTTCATTCTGGCAAGGCACCGCGTAAATGACCAAACGCGTTAACCAAAACCGCGTAAATCCAGACTCAACTGTATATGTAAGAATACTCTATAATGTACTGTACTGTACTCATATATCCTTTATGGGTAATTGTCAAAATGATTCGGGGATGTAAATAATGTCTTGGCTCCTAAAAAATACCGCTTAATTTTAATTTTCAGAACACTGAAGGGACGAGGCCTTCCTGGTTCAAGTGTAGTATTCAGACAAGGAACCAACGTAGAGATTGGGCCACCGTCATTCATGGCTCCAACAGAAGGGGCAAATGGGGTAAGTTTTTATATTAATTATTAAAACTGTACATGTATATTTAATCATTGCCTTAGGTGACACTTGTTATTTATAATTTTATTAAAATAATACTCAAACTCTTATCTTGCCTGTACACTATGTTATATATTTAAGATGTAAAATACTGTACACCTCCTTTAAGGTATTGCAGTAAGTAAAGTAATAGCATCATGAAGCTAAATGACATAACCAGAGAGTAAATGGCATTAATATTTCTGATGTTTTATCACATTCTGTTTCACATGAGTCCAATTAACTGATATAGTAAATCCTCTTAACTGACAATAATGTCAATGAGATGACAAGTTGTGCTTCGATAATGCAGGCAACAATTCCCAATGCATAGTCAATACAATATTCTTTTCATTGCATGTTTTAAGTCCTGTAAAAAATGAGATACAGTTTGTTCATATTTTTATTGCTATAATACGCTGAACCCTTGCTAATTCGATATTCACAGATTAACATTTCGGGAAATTTTTTAAGTTTTTGTTGAGGTAGATATAGTGAGATTTTTCTGTTTTGGGGGGGGGAAATGGATTCTTCCAAAAATTTTGACATAACCCATGCAAGTATATAATAGATACATTTCTAAAAATATAAAATAAATAAAAAAATGTAAAAAGATCCAATCATTTTGTATACTTCTCATAAGTTGTATTTAAAGTGAAAAAATATTGCAATTTAGTCACCGATGCAGACAAAACGAGATACAAAAGCTGTTGGGTATATTGTACAAATACTGTACACCAAACAAAAAACTGGGATTTGGTTGAAAAGATATTCCAATGTCTATAATAACATTATAAATGTTGTTTATAATTTAATACAATACAGAATTACTATATTATAATAAATTGTACTGTACAGTAATCACACCATTAGCCAGAATCATTGTGGAGGGGCATTCCAAAATATTATGTGAAAAATTTCTCTGTTACAAGCATTCAAACGAATTTCCGAGAAATTGTATCATGCACTGACACATGCTAAGCATAAGTTGGTAGGCTCAGTGGGCTCGTGCGCTATGAATGGCTACTGCTATCTTTTGATTACATAGTATGCCTATAATTGGCTGATGTACTGGTATCTCACAGTCTATCTCCTCAAATTTTAGCATCATGACACTCTTAGTTCATTGTCTGCTACCATTGTATAAGCTTGTTTGGTCACTCACTGCTGTTTATGCATATGATCTATGTTGTGCAGTACTCTTCATTACTGTACCTGCCTATAATACCGTCAAAGCAGTGTTAAAGTAGTGTTATGATGTAAAAGTGATTACAGTTACGTACAGTATACTGTACTGTTCATTCAGTAAATGTGAAAGTATCGCACATACAGTATTGTGCATAGCATAGTAGACAGTGGATGCTTAGTGTGTAGAGTACTAGAGGGTGTATGTACAGTACAGTACAGTGCGTGTACTCCCTCCTTCATGAAGGGAGAGGGAAGTGACAGTTAGCAATACCTGCTACAGTAGACGATACAGGACAAAGGCAGGCCATCCTGTATCATTATATCACCATTTGGCCTGCCTGCATCACAAGCTCAAGTTGACAGCATCCGCTGGTGAGTGCAGTATAGCGTTTACAGTGGTATATTTTGTTTATTTACAACATACTGTATGTGTACAGTAGTGTTTGCATAAATAAATACAGCTCTGTGTCTGTCCGACTGAAGTTAAGCCTCTGTAGCATCAGTGCTCCATGCCAGATGCGTAGTTTAAACATGGAAACATTCACCAATGCCCGGAAAAATTCCGGGGATAAGAGAATTTGTCTCAATACCCGGAAATGCTCTGCTCCAGTTTTTCCAGCTAACGAGGAGATTACTTTATTGTCGTTATAATATTACACAAAGTATTTCATACACCTATGCATGTACAGTATTCATGCATTCATATTAATTTAAAATTAAGATGCAGTATGTCTGTTGAGTAAAGTATACAGTAACATTATTCCTAAGGCAGTGTTAGTTTTTTCTCATCCTATGCTTTCTAGTATCAAGCATCAAAGCACATGTCCTGTATAAATCACAAATTTCTTTCAAATTGTGAGGCAAGGTGTAAAAAATCCAGAATTTGGTGGTAATTTTGATGTTTGAATAATTTGAAAATTGTGATAATTTAATCAACCCAGAGCCCAACGGCATCGAATTAGCGAAGGTTCAGTGTACTGTATTTATACTGAAGGGTCAACTGCTGTGTGACTAGTAAGATTTCTATAGATTGACTGATACAAATTTTCTTACTCTGTGATGCAGCATTTCATCTAAACGTATATACAGTACTTGTGTCAGAAATCCTATTGAAACTTTTTAAAATTTACTGGACACTTCTGTCTTTTTAGCTACCACAATGGAAGCAGTTGCCTTCTGCATACACTGTAAGAATTTAGTTTATTAATATGTTAAAAGAATGAGAGGAGCCAAAGCAAGTAAGGTAACCCATGGATAGTAAGGGGAGATTAAGAAAAGTGAATTAGGTAGTGGGAATAAAAAAAAATTGGTTAGGTTAGGTTAGGTTTTAGAAGTTGAAAGATACAAAAAGTAAAATATTGTCTCCTGGAAAGTGCTTCATTTTGTCATTCATTCATAGAACATGTATTAAATACAGTAGTACTGGACTGTACTGTAAATGCCTGGACTGGTGATTGACATCAAACTTTTACTACATTTCTATTTCCAGTTGCTCTCTTTAATTCTTCTCTTCTTTATGATGTTATGTTCCCAAAATACCTTGCTTGATGAGACAGACTTCATTCTTTTCGTGTTTTCGTATGTATTATAGTGCAAGCACCTGGCTACTGCTTCACTTTTGTGATGGCCTTAGGGTCAGTACAGGTATTTGGTACTGTCCCCAACTCCTTGTGTTTCTGGATAGTGGGAGCAATTCTCCTGGGGTGCATTGTATGCTTAGTATAGGAGCTTTTATAATGTTACCTCCTCTCAGATTTCTCTAGCTGGTTAGTGATAACAGAGAGCTGCCTGGTTAAAGGGAAATGTTAGGAAAGGGGGATTGTTTGTAAAATCCCATTTTTTAGCTCGGCTTATAGCTAGGCAGCTCAGGTACCTTCCTTCTTCCAGGGTTTGTAGTTGGTTATCCAAGAAACAATGAAATACCTGTAGTGGGATTGTCTCAAAGTCAACATGATGGCCCATAGCTGGCAGGACGTGTGTACTAACTAGTACTGTACAGTACAGATATAAGCGTGAGAGGACAGCGTTTACATTTGATCGCCCTCATTTCAGGACAATAAATGTAAAGAAAAGGGAGGGGTGATCTTAGAGTTTTAAATTACTCCCAGCTATCTTTAATTGATAATGAATAAGGAATTAAAATCATCATTTTAGTATGTGCAGTAACCTAAGAGTGATACTTATATTACTCTTATCTTTCCTCCTCCTGCTTTTTTATGTAGTAATCTATTTTGTAGTGACTGATTCACTAATCATGTGGCAAGCCAGCACATGAATTTTTCTACTGTATGTACAGTATTGATACAGTCTTGAGCACCAAAATATATTACAAAATAATTTGCAGCTGACATGTTTATGGAAAAGTATTATAATAAGTCCATAGACAAAACAAGTCATATGGAGGAAATAATTCCTTAGACATGCTCTAAGCTTCATCCTCTGTTGTGCTGTGGGTGACCATGATCTTGGGTAGTGGAGGTTACTTGGGTATAATAAAGTAAACCTTCTCTCGCTCTGCACGGGTTTTGTCTTCATGGAGCTGTGTGATTCTAATTCTGTTAATCTCTGCATAGTGGCACCACTAAAATGCCTTGCAAGTACAGTAACCCTGAATTGGAGACCTAGGCCAAGAAGCATAAAACTTTATGTAATGTTTGGTGTTACTTGGAGAGGGGTACAGTGACTGAGTGAATAAAATGCCCGCCACCTTTTTGGGGAAAGATCACCGATTTGATGTGGGGGCATTATTGATCCGTCTGGCTGTAAATGGGTGCAGGGTACTTTACAATTAGAGAAGTGCATGTTACTGGCCACATTGCCTTCTTGTTTACTGCAGGCTTGCTTAGTAACAGGTAGTGATCACTATGGGATCCACTTTCACTGTTCATTACTAGGGGCCCAATTTTTCTAAGTGGCATTCACATACATAATTATCCTGGTCTACAGAGTAACTGAACAAGAGGACATTTTGTGATCCAAATATAGCCATTGTTCATGCTCTTCATTGATCTTTAAATACACACCCATAGCAGAATCAGCATTACTGTGTACACCTGTATTGTACATGCTGGTGATTCAGGAAAAGTACATGTAGCACACTCAGTACAGTACAGCAATATTATATATACTGTATTGTACTGTAGTATGTAAACGGTTTTATTACTGAAACAAATTGTGTGACTTATAATCCACACCTGGATGAAACTGGTGACCTTAATGGTGTAATTAAGCTCGTTTGTACAATTATTTTCTGAATACTTTGTGAAATGGAGGGCCTGATGAGTGGATGTTATTTATAGAAGGGGTCTGGAATGCATCCTCTATATTCCCATCGAACTAATACTTCATTCTGCATGGATTTGCCTGCACTATTTTTCCTCTGAATGCAACTCCCGTACAGAGTGAGGGCAAGTTGTATAAGATATAAGGTGTGAAGCGAACTCCCAAGTGATATTAATGAAGATATTGATAGGGTTGAATTTATTTAACATGCAACTGTAAAGAAAGCTATTGTACAGCATCTTCCATGTACAATTTAAAGTCTTAGGAATCTAGTTTGATAAAAAAGTTTTATGTGTAGGTTGCTTTCTTAGTAGTATATTTTTTTAACAAATTTTCTAATGATAGAAATAGAATTTCATATTTATCTACTCCAGGTCAAGTGATCTTCAAAAGCATTCCATTTTCACCTTAATTTTTTTAGATATTGAGTAATAATCTTTTAGGAACAGTCACACATTCTTCTTATTTTTATTCTCTTGCTTTATAAAATACTTCATGCCATAAAAATAACATAATTTAGATAATAATTAACAAAGGTAGGCTTTATTAATCCTTTAATGACCATACACTATCTCCAACAAACAGGTGCCGATAGAAGGAGAAGTCAATCTTGGAGAGATGGCTGCAAAGAATCACAATTTTAGCAACCCCATGTATGATGCCATGGGTTCCATGGAAGGAGCACAAACTGAACAGACAAATACTAGAGGGCTCTGTGAAGTGCCTTTAGAGACTAGCACAACTAGGGGGTACAATATGGAGAATCAAGAAACTAGTAATGGTTCAACTCAACCTGCATCTCTAGCTGTTCTCTCTCCAGCAAACATGATGCAAAGATCTTCACCTAACTTACAGATCCGTAAAAAAGAGCTTAGTCCTTCAAGTAATGATACTGGCAAGGATACACAAAAGCTTGTGGTGGAGGATGATAACTCAGAATGCTAAGACTGTATTAAGACTTGTGTTGTACACAGAACTTATTTTGGGCTAATTGATGCAGTGCTGCCACTACCCGTGCTAAGGATTGCCGTCCCAAATGCAAACCAGATCATGATAGTTGTATTTTAATGGAAAGACAGATGAAGATTTGACACTGTTGTGCTCTGATTTGTAAGATTGATGTTATCCAGTGTATTGTTACACTTCCAAATTTTATAAAATAAAATTCCAGTTTTTAAGGATTTTTAAATTTGTAACCAAAATGAATTTGGTGCTCAGTGTATGAAGTGACTAGTAAATGTGGGAGTTATCTGGTACAGTATATAGAACTTCATATAAAGTTGAAACTATTTACCAAACTAAAGTTAATTGTCAGATTAATAATAAATGAGAACTCATGGGAGTTATGGTACTAATTTTTTTAAATGTACAATGTAGTAAATGATTGGTTGGATATAGTAATACTGTATGTAAATTGCTCTATTTTTACACAAACATATAGACTGTTTGTATATTTTCATCTTTGTAGTACCAAGATTTTTTTTATAGTTTATTTTAGGGCCAGAGGTCTTTAACTTACAAAAAATGGTCCTGATTTTACCATAGTTATATACATTTTCCTCCTATTTATCTCTCATTGCTAACATTTCATTGTTTTAGAGGCATTGAATGAATTTTGTAGATTTCATATATGAGGTGACATATTACGTCTATTTTATATTGAAGCCAAGCCGTCCACATTAAATATTATATGACATTCCATATGGTAGGAGTATTAATGATGTACTTATTTGAAGTGACTTGATGTACAAGATTTTGTTAAATGGGTTAGTCAATTGTATCCAATGAACTAACCTATGGTAAGAGCCTCGTAGATGAATGTTCTATATTTGGTTCTCTTGCAGAATTTTGGAGATTGTGAGATTTATTTTAAAACTTCAGTACCCGATTGTATCCCTTTGACCATCTCCAGGGCTCGTGTGTGCATATATATATATATATATATATATATATATATATATATATATATATATATATATATATATATATATATATATATATATATATATATATATATATATATATATATATATATACACACACACACAGGTATATATAATACTGCAGAGAGGCACCACTGCTTTTACCAATGGAATTATTCCTATGGACATTTTTGTGTAAATAAAGGTTATGTATATAGATTGAATACTGATTTATTACAATTTGCTGTGAATGTGAAGAGAGTTTATTGTAGATCATTTACTCAATTCGTCAACATTTGACCTTCATTTAGGTATTGGAGAAGTGTATTACATGACCCATCATAAGGAGCCCTATCTTAACAATACTTTCTGATGTGGTTGTATTATGTTGAATTGTTTCTATTGTTATAGGCGTGCAATAATTAATAATATTAAAATATATATATTTTTTTTCTTCCTAATAAGTTATCTATTTTTAACATTTAATCTATGGCCAAGAAAATCATTTATAAAGGTCTAAGCTAGTTGAAAATTCTTTAAACTTTGAATTGGAGTTTTCTTATTTGAAGGCTGATCATCCCTACAAATACTGTACACGCTTGGAGGCTATAACTCCAACTGATAGAATTAATTGAAAATTTTATTTAATATACAGTACAGGTACCGTATATACAAAATATAGGTCTGGGAAACTAATTTGAGTTACCTGTACTGTATACTGACAGGTGGCCTACTGATTACCTTGACACTTGTGTTTACCGAGTCTCTTGAAGGTGCGTGTTTACCGAGTCCCTTGATGTTTGTGTTTACTGAGTCCCTTGATGTTTGTGTTTACTGAGTCCTTTGATGTTTGTGTTTACTGAGTCCCTTGATGTTTGTGTTTACTGAGTCCTTTGATGTTTGTGTTTACCGAGTCCCTTAATGTTTGTGTTTACCGAGTCCTTTGATGTTTGTGTTTACTGAGTCCCTTGATGTTTGTGTTTACTGAGTCCTTTGATGTTTGTGTTTACTGAGTCCCTTATGTTTGTGTTTACTGAGTCCCTTGATGTTTGTGTTTACTGAGTCCCTTGATGTTTGTGTTTACTGAGTCCCTTGATGTTTGTGTTTACTGAGTCCCTTGATGTTTGTGTTTATGTTTGTGTTTACTGAGTCCTTGATGTTTGTGTTTACTGAGTCCCTTGATGTTTGTGTTTACTGAGTCCCTTGATGTTTGTGTTTACTGAGTCCCTTGATGTTTGTGTTTACTGAGTCCCTTGATGTTTGTGTTTACTGAGTCCCTTGATGTTTGTGTTTACTGAGTCCCTTGATGTTTGTGTTTACTGAGTCCCTTGATGTTTGTGTTTACTGAGTCCCTTGATGTTTTTGGTTACTGGGTCCTTAATGTGTGTTACTGAGTCCCTTGATGTTTGTGTTTACTGAGTCCTTGATGTTTGTGTTTACTGAGTCCCTTAATGTTTGTGTTTACTGAGTCCCTTAATGTGTGTGTTTACTGAGCCTTGATGTTTGTGTTTACTGAGTCCCTTGATGTTTGTGTTTACTGAGTCCGTTAATGTTTGTGTTTACTGAGTCCCTTGATGTTTGTGTTTACTGAGTCCCTGATGTTTGTGTTTACTGAGTCCTTAATGTTTGTGTTTACGAGTCCCTAATGTTTGTGTTTACTGAGTCCCTGATGTTTGTGTTTACTGAGTCCCTTGATGTTTGTGTTTACTGAGTCCCTTAATGTTTGTGTTTACCGAGTCCCTTAATGTTTGTGTTTACTGAGTCCCTTAATGTTTGTGTTTACTGAGCCTCTAGAAACACAAGCATATACTCAAGAGCAAGTGGTACTAATAAATATGCTCAGAGCTAATGGCATAATTGATTGTCTGTAAAGCTTTGTATAGAAGTCTGTTAAGGTATAATGTTTGATTTTCTGTAACTAAGGAAAGGACCACCAAGCCTTACCTGGTACAGAAGCGTGGGTAGTGACGGTAGCTGTGTCGCTGCTCGCTGGCAACTGTGCTGTGTCTGGGGAAAGCAGGTGGTTATATATGTACATGTTACTATGATTGTCCACTGCCCCTTGCCATAGCCCCAAATCTTCTTAATAATAATACACCTCCTTCCTCCCTCCCCCTTCCCCCAATACCCCTCCTTCATCCAACGTGCCCTACAGAGTCAAACAATCAGTGACTCAAATCATATCAATGTTGACTGCATCTGTAATGATTGCATCTCTCTCTCTCTCTTCTATCTGATTTTTGTTTTGCTATCTTTCTACTTATCCTTGATTTGCTTATTTGTTTGTTATATTTCTTTGTTTATGTGATTCTGTAAAAGAATCACAGTTGGAGTGTGTGTGTGTGTGTGTGTGTGTCACCCTTACAATATCAGCCCTATAGAGTTAGCCCTATGGGTACATCAAGTTATAGGTGTCATCATTATACAGGTGGGTACATGTTACTGGTGGGTATAACATGTTACAGGTGGATACAACATGTTACAAGTGAGTGGGTACAGAGTGATGTAGCATGACCCTCTATCAGGTCATGTGGGTACCCAGCATGACCTAACACTTCTTTTGACCACTACCTCTCCATCTGTCTTTATTTCTCTGTTGCTCTCATTCTGTGTGTGTGTGTGTGTGTGTGTGTGTGTTTTGCTCTCTCCTCAATGTATCTATCTATCCCTTTTGGTCTCTCCTCTACATTTTCTTTCTCCCATTGCCACCCTCCTTCTCAGCTTTTCTTTCTCTTGGCCTCCCTCTCTCTCATTCCATCCTCCATCTCTCATTCCCTATCCCCCTCATTCCTCCCTCTCTCAAGCTACAATTCAAACTTAACTTCATATCTTCCCACAGGCAGACATGTTAAAGATCAGACCTACAAACTAGACTCTTAATAATATGGATCTACCTGGATCTACCTGTATCACACCCAGGTGGTATATTAACACCGGAAGTATGACACCAATTGTTCTTGGTCACACCTGAGTACCTGACACCCATGCTCCTCTACCACCAAGTGAGAATGATAAACCATGGTGGACAGACTCTGGTGGAGGTGAGCTTATCTGAGGTTGCAGTTTGGGTCTGTGGCTAGGTGAACACAGGTGTTTGAGCCAGCTGATCACAGACAGGAACGTCACCCGGTTTTGGTTATTTGTGTGGACTGATTCAATCTAACCTAATCTAACCTAACTTGACAAGTAAAATGTCTAGAGTGATAGATAGATGGATAGGTAATTATTGACAGCGAATTTTCAATGCCAATTACTCATCAACTATGGGTTTCCAAGGTGTGATTTAGGGTTTGTGTGTTATTCTAAAACTACTTAATTAGTTAAACCCCTTAAATTTCAATTCTGAGAGAAAAGTATATTTTGGTTCAAAATTTTGTAAGGTATAAGACTTACTTTTGGGTTGTTTTTCGCCAAAAATTAGATTTTGCTGAAAATCACAGTTTGGGTTCTCCTGAGCTTGGTGCTTATGAATATGTGATCCACGATTCGATTGCAGAGTAATTAGCATCCAAAATGACCCTTGAAATATTTTTCTGACATTTTTCAATGCAAATTACTCATCAACTACTGTATATGTTTCCAAGATGTGATTTAGGTTTGTGTTATTCTGGAAGTACTTAATTAGTTAAGCCCCTTAAATTTCAATTCTGAGAAAAGTAATTTTGGTCCAAAATTTTGTAACGTATAAGACTTAACATTTTGGCCAAAATTGATTTTGCTGAAAAATCACAGTATGGGTACTTTGAGCTTGGTGCTTGTGAATATGTGATCCACGATTCGATTGCAGAGTAATTAGCGGCCAAATGACCCTTCAAAATATTTTTCTGACATTTTTCAATGCCAATTACTCATCAACTATGGGTTTCAAAGGTGATTTAGGTTTTGTTATTCTGAAAGTACTTAATTAGTTAAGGCCCTTAAATTTCAATTCTGAGAGAAAAGTATATTTTGGTAAAAAATTTTGTATGTGT